CATCATCATGTCCTATCCACCCCCTGCCCCCCCCGCCCCCCTCCACTTCTGCCCCCGCAAATGCTGGCTGTCCTTTACATAAAGACAGAATTGTAATTACAAGTTCAGGGCTTACCATACAGGATTTCTGCAGTAGTAATTAGATGTAATTTCTTTCTGTGTTAGTTGAGGGTCTTTTGCTCCACGTAAATGTTTTTGTCCCTAGAAATATAAGCCTTTTGTCAGTGTGGTTACCTTTTTAGGGTGATTCTGGGCAAGCTTTAAAAATTCCAAACAATTTTACTGTACAAAACTTGTTCTTTAACACTGTATTTGGCATAATTTTTCAGATAGTGTATTTGAGATTTATATCTTTCTTAAAAATGTCTCCTTCTAAAATCAACTTTTAAAATAAGATGAGAATTTTAACTTTCTCAGCAATTAAAGCTGGAGGACTCAAGCTTTGTAGTTAGCTAACCAAGTCTCAAAACTGTAATGCTTTTTCTATATAATGCCGTATTTTATATTTCAGATTAAATAATTCTATTGCCTTCATCTCTCTTCTTGTAAATGTTTAATAATGTCTCAAACTAACAAGCTCTATTCCAATCCTATCTTCTGTACCCAGTCTCAGATCTACAGACATCTTTGTTAATCAACTATAACTCAACCCAAACCTCTAATGTTTTCAGGGTCTTTTTTCTATCAATTGTTGTGTACTTTCTCACTTTTCATTATTGCTGACATTCAGGATATGACCAAATCCTATTACTTCTCATTGACAACACAATATTTCTTAACCTTCTGATGACTGACATGCTTGTCTGGGCATGGGTTTTGGACAGTTGCCTGATTCTCCTCTTGACTCAGGAGAAAATGTTACACTGCAAACTCCTTGTGACCACACCATCTATTGAAATCTTGGGGTTTTGGGTTGGGGTTTTGGTTTTGGGGGGAGGGGGGTTTAGTTGCATTTAGTTGAAATTTTCCTGATCTAGCTTTTGAAGTTGCTCCTTTATTGGACTGACTATCCAGCCTGAGGCTACTTTTACGCTAATACTTTTTACACTAATCTCACTGGTTACGCCAGTGATTCCAACATTTGCTGTCTTGCTTACTCATGTAAGTTATCTCTTCAAAGAAACATCTTGTTTTGCTGAATATTCTGAAATGTTTCTGTAGTAAAGGCCATGTTAGGCAGTGTACCTTACCAAGGACCTCACTTCTCATTTATTATTGTATAATGTACTAAAGAACTGCAGGAATTGGCTAAACAGAACTACCTTCAGACATATTAAAGAGTTGGTAAAGTATGCTTAGGAGCAAGAAGGAAGGAGAGGAAACCTTATCATGGGAATAAGCGATCAGCTGTCTGCAAACTGAACGTTTGTCATTACAGAGCTGCTATTTGAAAATGTCTAACATGTAAAATATGTTAAGGACGGGGGAAGGAAGGTTTGCCTTGTACAGCTGGCCAGAACCAGGAGGAGATACCTGTACTTAAAAAGCAACTGTTAAATATCTTAAATGTTGCTAAAATGCTAACTGGATTGTTGAATAGTGTTTAGAAAACTTCTAAATACAGTATTTTTAGATTAATTTATAGGAATTCCATCATACCAGCAAAATCCCATTTGTTTATTATTGTAATCCTATCTTAAGTCTCCCCTTCTTATTCATCCTAATGACTTTTTGGGTTTGTGACCATTATAGATTTTACTTTTTTTAAAGGATGTTTATGTATTTTACTCTGTGGAACACTTACCAAATCTGTTCACTAGATTATTAATTGATGGGTGGTATTCTTGGTTTTGATCAGTCTTAGTTGTTATAAAAATCCATACAAAACTGGCTATGTGCATACGATAAAAGTAATAAGGAGAATAAGATGCTAGAAATACCTGCCTTTTTAATAATACACTTCTTCGTAATAGTTGATAGTCCTGTTTCCTTGGAAAGCCTTGCTAGGTGCTAAAGGGAACCTTACATATTTTCAGTGTCCCAGAGTGCATGTTCGATAGTTGTTGATAGACACTGGCTCTTGAAAGATGATGAAAGATGGTTTACGGTTCTCTTTGGCTGTTGTTGTATAGATGTTCCATGTAGCGGTATGTGCACAAATACAGCTGCAAAGTTTCTTGTCGTAAGGTTTAGGTTTGTAATTAAACCTCACTCCATTCGTGTGCTTTCTCTACATCCATAGAAGTTGGATGTGCCCCTCTGTGAGCCGCAGGGTTCCTTCACTGAGAATATCTTTTCTAATGATTTCTTAAGAGCCTTGTTAGTATCTTGAAAACTTTGCTTTCTCTTGTCTTTAAGCTCCAGCAAAGACCTAGCCATCTGACAGGATCTGTCTGTGGCTTTCATTTCTTTACAGCATCTCAGAACTTGGGTTAGCTGCTACAGAAGATTTTCTTACTTAGATGCCTGTTATTGCTGCTTTTTTAATGTCCGAAACAAATACATTGCCAGTAATTTGAATTGTCCTTGGGACACCCCTGAAACAAGAACAGTGGTGAAATCTAGAAGCGTGTGTTTGCCATGCCAGTGAGTTTTGTGGAGTCACCAGTGTAATCAAGATGGACCAGTTTAAGGCTCTATTCCGTTGATTATCTCCCAAGAAATGAAAAAAGGTCTTTTTTTTAACAGGCAGCCAGTAAGTACTTGAAGCTATTGCAGTTCACCATTAAATCACCTGGAACAAGACAAGTACCTTCTCTTTCTGTTTTTCACATTGTCAGCACCATCACGTGCAGATGTTGCAGTGCTTAGTCTGTCTCTTGGACTGCAGTTAAAGCCAAAAGATTGAAAAGCATTTCTAGGTCTTCTTTCCTATTTCCTTCTTCTCATTTGTTTCTGCTCTCTTTAACATATCATTTGAAAAACATTGATACAGGAGTCATAATAGCCTGTTGGAGAAACTCTGCCTTAAAGAGTCAAAAAATAAGTAATCAAGAGGACACAAGTCCAGCTATTTAACATCTGCTCAGTTGCTGGGTTAGTTTGGCTCTAACCAATTTTTGGGGAAACCGCTGCGTGCAGCTTTAGTGGCTGAGGCACTTCATTTGCAAGAAGCGCTTCCAAGAAGTTTGCATCAGCCTTTATTCTGACACCAAGGAAGGTTATCAGTCTTACCTTCAAAGTGTAGTAGGACTGGAGAGGGGAGGGAAAAGGGACAAATATTCTTTCAGTTGCAGGTTACTATTATTCATGTCAGTACCTCAACTTTTGACTTACTGAAACAGTACCTTGGGTAACTTTTGGTGTGGTGTGGGCCTACGGTTCCAAATGCATCATTGTGGAGGACTCGTTCCAATAGTAAAGTTGTATTGAGATTCACCATCCTTTTGGGAGCAGTGAAACCCAAGAATTCCTATGGGATAGGCAGTGGCAACTGGGAATAAGAAGGCACAGTGGAGTAAGTGATTTTCGTCTTCCTTGCCTGGTTTGCCACCTTGGTGCTCAGTTCCTAGCCCAGGTGCTTGCACAGCAGAGTGTAGTTCCTGTTGGGCACCTGCCCCGCTTAACCTGGGGTTTCTAGTACTTAGACCTAAAATAAGTAACCAGGGAAAATTGTTGTGAGTTCTGGCTTTATCAGGTATGAATACATTTCGTCAAACTTTTGTTAACCTTTGACTGGTTTAAATTATACATTAAATTATGCTCTTTCCTTTTTCCCCCAACTTGCCAAAAGAAAACCATGAACAGCTCTCACTTTGTAAGTAAAGAGAATATTAAATCACTAACAGCTGCTTCACAGCAAATTGATCTGCTGATAGAGTTTTGGAAACAGTAATGATTATGTGCAGTTGATTGCACTTCACTGAGAATGAAGTAGTGTATTTCCAGCATTACTTATGTGATAATTATATGTGGTGCCTGTAAAAATAGATCAAGTTCAGGGAAGAGAAATCAATTGAATTGTTCCATACCAGGATTCTTTTATTCTTGAAGAATACTTTGCTATGTGGTGTTCCATAGATCTACACATCTACTATGAAGTAGTGTTTTTAAATATGTAATTTCTTTACATAATTAAAAAAAAAAGCTGATCTCTGCCTTTTTCAGCTTGCTTCTGAAAGTTAGTTGTATACTTGCATACTACTCTTGTACTGGTACATCTGTCAGTGCAAAACTGTCGAGTTTGCCTACTTACTAAACCATTGTTCTCTACCTTTTGAAAATAAGTGTTTATCATAAATTTCAAACAAACAAGAGGTGTATAGTTTTTGAAGATTGCTGTTAAGCATTGATGAGAAAACATTTCATGGTTTAGGTAAAGGTTACAGTTGCTCTTCTGGTTGTAAGATTATCTGTATTAAAAACCTCTTTCTTAAGGGTTTTATTTATGAGAGTCAAACTGTGCTGCCACAGAGCTAAAAATATTAGGGAAACTTGTCATCTAGATGCAATGCATTGGGACAATTTTAAAACAAAAGATCCCACTTGAAAGGCAGACGTTATGTTTTACTAACTCTGTGAAACTGTGGTTTTTTTTAAAAAAAAAACAAATGCAAACATTATGTAGAAGAAGTAGTTTGTCTCGATTATTGTAGTGTTGCTGAGTTGCAGTAAAGTGTGATAGTGAAATTTTACTAGGGTGATCAGAAATTAAAAAGTGGGATGGGGAAGAGGTGAGTGTGTTTCCTTTGGAAACAAAACAAAACAAAGGCAGGGATTCTACCTTAGCTGTAATAGCTCAAGGTCAGTACTCTCTGTTTTGCATTACATGCTTTTTGTGTAGCACATCAGAATGTTTTTAACAGATTTTCTGGATCTTTCTTCCAAATATCTGTTAAAGAGAGAGTCCTGAATTTGCCTGTCTACTAATTAGCACAGAAAGCACAATTAATTCTGGAACCAACAACAATGAACTTAAAAGCGCTAGTATAACAAAATTAGTATTTCAGATAAGGCAAACACGGGATAATTTTAAAAGCTTAAGATGTGATTCAAGAAAAGATACGTTCAAAAGTTAAGCATGTTTTTCTAGGGAAAATGTTTTCTTAATAGGGAAGAATATAAAAACACAAATACATGTCAAGGGTTAAATGGTGTTTTGAACTGATATCAAAAGCATTGGTGTTGAAAGGCTGTGGGTCATCTAACTGATTGATATTGATGGGACACTGTGAGAAACAATAATATTTAAATGCAGAGGACTTGAAGCAAAACAACCACAAAATATGTTTGGAACAAATGTGTGATTTACGTGAAGAATGAACCTGGATAAAATGAAGTGGGCTATTGGAACAAAAGAGTTTATTTAAATTGTTTGGTTTTCAGTATTTGGAATACATTAGTTTGTGGTGGTATCTAAAGATATCAGTGAATAGACAAGATGCGCCAAAAACCGGTGTCAATGCCGATAAAAACGCATCAAAGAGGAGTGGAGGTGGTTAGAGTGGAAACGATTAAGTATGTTTAATTCTCTTTATCTCTTCCTTCCTCTGTCTCTGAAGGGACTGGATGGCTCTAAGCTTTGAAGAAAGTTTTGCGTTTTGTTCTGGTTTGTTTTTCCTACAAGAGTTTGGAAGTGTGGACGCTGGGTCTGGCTGGGGCTGGGATGGAAACCAGACTTCCTTGAGTGAACAAGAGTATTTGTGCGGCACGGTGCTTATGTCACTATGAAGCTAATAAACTTGCATAGAAGTCAGGGCCAACATAGTAAATAGTCTTTTCATCCTTATGAAAATGATTGAGCATTGCGCTGTATTTTGAGCAAGTGTTTCGTAGTCTGGCCTACCGCAAGCAGTCTCCTATTACATCAATGCTCTATTAACTTGAGACCAAAGAGATTTGGGATTTTAGTGCACAGCAATGTATGTGTTGTCTCTACCTGATTTTTTGTGATACAAAAATCCATGTTAAAAATCTAAAAAGGGAAAGCAGCTCCTTAGAAACTCATTCATCAGTCAAGGGGAAAAGTTGGTTTTCTCAAGCTGTGTAACTACAGCAGGACATCAAACTGAGGCTTAACTTTTTTTGTCAATTTTTTGAAGTACTGTCAAATACTTCAGTATTTGTGTATTCAGTACTTATGTATTTTATAGTAATGCTGTTTGCACAGAACAATTTTTTGTATTTGTCAGGGTAACACAGTTTCTCTGGAGATTCTTTGTTAAAAAAAAAAAAGGAAGAAAGAAAAGAGCTCTGTGGCTAATTCTTTCCTGGCTAATACAGCCTTAGACAAACAGACCAAAGGAAAGCAGTTGTTAGGCTTCACTGAAAATGTAATAATTTTGGAAATGTGGATCTTCTTGCAGGATATTTAATTTTTTTTTTATTTGCAATTTTGGACAGTAACCTAAATACATATGCTTGCATTGTCAGTTTACAAGCAGTAGTTTAGCATCACTTGTAAAAATCAAAGCAGCATGGCAGGTTGAAAGATGTTTATGTATGAGAGCATACATTTCTTCATACACTGTTTTCAGTAGTTTTGTAAACAGCAGTCATGCTGTATCTTGCTAATCGTTCATTTTTTCCTAACTTGTAGTGAATACATGAATAAAAGCTACAGTATTTGCTACCATTTGCTAATTCTTTGCTACTGTTTTATTACAGTTATGAAGGTGTTTATTTTCTATCAGTCGTCTTTGTGCTAAAGTATATGAGGGAAGAGGGCGTGGGGGGAACAGATGAGAGAGATTAGAATTTAGACATGTTAACAAAACATTTTCAAAGTATAGCTTTTATGAGGCATTCAGGTAGCTACGAAGTACAGCAACCATCCTTTGTACCGTACTGAATATAGCACTGATTTTTACAGAACAGTGAAGTTAGTCCGATAAAACTTGAGAAATGGGTATGATAGCATGCTGTATATTAGCATATTGCTTAGCCAGCAATAAGAGTCCAAACTATAAACTCTAGGTTATAGCAGAGGCTTCCTACCTTGTGTTCCAGTTTTGTTCAGGTGATATCAGTTTGATTTTTTTTTTTTTGAGGTGTGGGGAATTTGGAAATGTCAGTGAACTGTAGTTGAAGCTGTTCAACGTGTCTTAAGAGTTGGATAATACAGCTTTGAAGTTGTGGAAAAGCAAAACCAAAGGATATAACTCAATTTTAGTTTTTATATTCCTTCATTTTGTAGATGCTTTTGATAAAATTTCTTCATTATTTTATTTTCTTGGGAGGACATTGTTTGAGAGTTTTGCCATTGGCATTGTGTCTGTGAGATCTCATCCTCAAACTTAGCCTGAAAACGAGTCTGCATAGATTGTACATAACTGATTCTGCTGAGGTTTTTTTGAGGTGTGCTGGCAGCTGAAGGGTTTTCCTCATTAGAAAAAGAGATCACAATGTCTTTGTAAGCAACTAACTGATGTGATAAGTTTTACAAAGACGAGTTCTAGCCGCCAACACACTTACTGAGAAAAGCAGACGGCAGAACATGCACACTCCCAACAAAATACGGGAATGCATGGCTAATAGTTATGAAATGGGGAAGGTGAAGAGAGAAACAAGATAAAAGATTCAGTTCTAAGTATAAGTAGGATTTATTACTGATTTAAGCAACTGCTAGACCATATAATGGTAGAAGGTATCTTGGGTAAGAAATAGCAGAATAACAGAGCAGAACACTTTGAAGAAAGTTTTTTGTTAGTGTCTGGGTTATATTGGTTGGGATTTTATAGTATAAGCATTTGCATCTTCTAGTATGTATTCAGCTTGATAGATGGAAGTTGAATGCTGTGGGACTTTTAATGTATTATTCATGAAGTAAAAATATTAAAAGTGTAATGTTGAAGCTCTGTATTTTAAAAAGGCAAATTTTCTTCTTTGTAGGTAAGCTTCTGGGTTGTTAGAGAGATTCTACATGCACAAACTTTAAAAATAAGAGCTGAGGTTTTGAGTCACTATATTAAAACTGCAAAGGTAAGAATTTGGATGGGTGGGGGTTGTGGGATTCACCATTATGAAAGTTCTTATGCTTAAGTTGGTCAGTTAAAAAAATACAAATGGGTAAATATTTATCTGATACCTGATTTAGCCATGGTTGTATTTGTTCACATGAATAGCTGTTTGGCTTCTGCATGTAACAAAGTGGTCAGAAATAGTGACAGACTGAAGTCCTGAAATGGAAGCCTTTGTTTGCAAAAAAATAGCTTAACTAAGGAAATGCAAAGATACCTTGTTTCAAATATTGTTTATTAGATAATATAATTTACCAGGTGTGTTTCCTAATGTTAGTGAAGCCAAAATGCTGTGTGTAAAGTCAACTCAACCAGCGTCAGTTAGAACAGAAATAGTTTGTTTGCTTTCACTATTGGAAGGAAAGGATCTGTTATCTCTTACTCCAGTTGTGGCATGAATAGTATCAACCTAATAAATACTGTTTCAAAAATGTACCTGAACTCCAAAAACATTTTAGACCTCTCATCCTGTGATATCTTCATGAAAGCCTTTAGGACTGACATTCATAAGAAAAGAGTCAGCAAATCTTGACTTACGTGTAGATGAACCAGAGTCCTGGCCCTTCAAACAGAATGAAACTTCCTCATTGGAGTGTGAAGAGAGGGATGTTTTTCAAGTTTTTGTCAGAGGGTGGCTGACTGTTACTACGGCTAACTTCTGTGGCCACCTCAGATTACCTGCAAAAAAAAGATGTAAAATTTTGTAATTATCTTGGTATTCATTTTGCAAATGCATTCTTTGTCTTGATACGCACATTTTTAATGAAGTAGTATTTTCTTATATGGGATTCAACTATAAATTTTGGGCAAAGCAAGCTAATTTTTTAAGATTCCACAGGCTTTGCTTAGTAATCATGCTGTCATCATGAACTGTTAAGGATCTCTTTTAAATATCCTTTGATATCTGGTAAGTTAATGTATCTTCATCTTATGTATTTTTTAAAAAATCAGTTCTTGTGGTCTTTTTTTTTTTTGAAATAAACATACAAAGATTTACCTCATGATCCATGTCCCTCCATAGAAGGAGTGAGGTTCACCTGTGTGGTCATAGTGCAGAACCAATCTTGGAAGCAAAGCGGGGTCAGGTTTATTTAGTACTTGGATGGGACTTGCCAATGCGGGGTATTGTAGACTCTGCTTTGGACACAACTCTCTGAACGTGCCTGACCTCATCTGTGGAGTGCAGACAGCAGTGTTTGCTGAAATGATGCTGGTTTTGAGATAGTTATGAATTCTAACAATTAGTTGAGCTTTGCTTGCCTATGAGTTGTAAAAATCACAATTAGAAAAAGCAGGAAACTATATATGGGGTGTTTTATGCATCTGTTAATTTACTTAATGTCTCTGTTATCTTGGCTTTGGTTACATATGACTGCTAACATGAAGTTACTGCGGCTAGTGCTATTTGAAGGGTTTTTTATTTACACCGAAGCTGTTATCAAAGCAGCTTGGTGCCAGAGGTCACACTAATTAACTTTTCAGAGAAGCTGTAAATCCACTCTTTAAGCTAGGTTTGAAGCAGGTAGGGGATAGGACCAGGCTCACTAGAGATGAACCTAGGGGCAGTACGCCTGTGTCTGGGGCAAAACTGTTAGCCCAGCTGAAGTGCATCTACACCAATGCGTGCAGTTTGGGCAACAAAAAGGAGGAACTGGAAGCCATGGTACAGCAGGAAAGTTATGATGCAGTTGCCATCGCGGTAACATGGTGGGACGACTGTCATGACTGGAGTGCTGCAATGGATGGCTATAAGCTCTTTACAAGAGACAGGCGAAGCAGGAGAGGCGGTGGGGTAGCCTTGCATGTAAGGGAGTGTCTTGACTGTACTGAAATGAAGAATGATGAAGATAGCAAGGTTGAGTGCCTATGAGTAAAGATCAGGGGGAAGGTCAGCAGGGAGGACAATTACGGTGGGAGTCTGTTACAGACCACCCAACCAGGATGAACAGACAGATGAGACATTCTACCAGAGGCTGTCAGAAGTCTCACGGTACCCAGACTGAAATGGCTACTAGGGTGACCTGACAGTAAGCATTAGATGTGGCATTTCTGAGTAATACCTATGAGGACTTTGTTCGGTAACGGCCTGTTAGTTTTCTGCCAGTGTGTTAAGTGGAGAGAGAATCATTTGCCCTGCTCCAAAACTATCAGTCAGAAAACCATCCTTGTGGTATTGCTTTTGGCCTTCCAAATATAAGGTCTCTCCTGATGTTCAGTATTTATGCAGAATCAAGTTAGTCTAATTTTTTATCCTGTTATCTCATAAAAGGCCTCATAATCGAGAAAGCTTGGGTAGACTGAGTTTCAAGGAGGAAAAAGGACTTCCACCATTTCTTGAATAGCAAGGGTTCCTTATATTACTGTATCATTTCTAGCTGGAATCCTAACCTACCTTGGTGAATTTTCCACATGAGTTGGACAGGATTTGCAATACTGTGATTGAGTTAGCCATTTGTCGTTATCGAAGTCTTTTTAGTAGGGATAAAACCTCAATTTGTGTATGCTCCACCAAAAATCCCTGAATGTAATTCAGATCTCTAGGTGCTCATAGCTGTCAGAATAATTGATATTGCAGAAAAGTTTAAGGAACAGCGTTTTCTTCCAGATGACTTTTAAGCTTTCATGACAGTAGTACCCATAGTTAATTGGCCAAGGCAGATCAATGGCTTTGGAGGCAGAGGGAAAGAAAAAAAGAGAGGGAAATTCCACATGTGTAAGAAAATGCACTTCTGTGCAGTGTTTTCAAGAAAATTCTTTTCCCCTGAAGCTTTCTGTGTTCAATTTTGATTTCATTGTTCCTTACCACTAGTTAGTTTTAGTTGTTGTACTGCAAAAATTGTGTCTCAGTGAGAGAAGTACTCCAGGTACATGGCTTTTGAAATTCACCTGCTTGATTTCATCCTGCAACATTATTTTTTGTGTGCTTTGATGCAGCCTTGGTAGCTACATAAACCTGCCATGCCAGATGCATTTACGATATTAAGTACTACCATGATTACAACATTCACAACTGGGTTATCCTTTTTGGCATGTGAAGTTTTAAAATTCTGTTGAATGCTATGAAAGGGATTTGTTGGGTTTGAATGTCAGAAAACTTCTGACATTTCTGATCTATGCCCCAAGATGTACGCCTAAACAGATTTTTTTTTCAAGGGTTCTCTATGGACTATGAAACTAGTATAATCTAATCCAAAACTGTATAAATGCAGTAATGAAAAATCAGGAGGTGCCATAAAAGTGGTATGGGTGCATAGCAGTTCACTGTAACTCTTCATTTTAGAACGTGCAAGATTTCTTCATTTTTAGATTGTTATTTATTCTGTAGTCGTTATTGACAGCACTTGGAATGTTGTTTATTGTTATTGTATGTATTTTTGTCCTCAGAAACTGTATGAGCTGAATAATCTGCATGCTCTTATGGCAGTTGTGTCAGGCCTACAGAGTGCTCCAATCTTCAGGCTGACTAAAACGTGGGCGGTAAGTGAGCAGCAGGACAATGGAGGGGTTTGAATTTATTCTTAAGAAAATACAACATTCTGTAGCTTGTTTTCAAGGATGCAGTAATTATTACAGATACTTTTAATCTTCTCGTACTGTGTACATAATGTTTCTAGTGCCTCTTAAACCTATGGTGTTTCCTGTTGAATTTTTTTTCCGTTCTGGCATAGAAATATTTTCCTTTTGAAAAACAGTTCCTTGCAGATTCTGCTAAATGCCAGAGGCTTCTAATTTGGCCAGAAGCTATTTTGTATGTAGTCACTGGAAAATTGTGAATGCCAAAGTGGGTCATACTTTAATCGTTTAAGGGTTTATACTGTTGGAAATTTTTTTGCTATGAAGAGCAGATGTCCGGAAACTCTTGATTCGGTTTCCATAAAGAGATTTGTAGTTTCTCTGATAAGTAAATCTAGCAGATTTCTTCAGAGTTTTCAGAATTATTTTCCTAGGTCTAACAACTGCATTATACAGTCTATTTGTAGGTCTGCTTTTGTTCAGTTATGAAAGAATGGTGTTCTTTAGAAAGATTTTTATTTGACATCTGTTTTTTGACTGGAATTAATACTATTTTTGTGTAGTTGCATCCTTGATCAAAAGAACATAAGAAATGACTTTTGCTTGCTGATACCTCATAGCTGAGAAAACACTGAGCTTGATTCAGCCATACATTGTGTTGTCCAGCTGTATAAACAGATGAATTGTGATATTTTGAAGTGGGACAGAAACAGATGACTGAAATGCTCCTGTGTGAGGGATCCATATAAATAGATCATTAAAAAGAGCTAAAAACTTTCACTGAAGACATGTCAACACATCCTCGCTTGTTACAAAAAGTGTTTCTGTGTCTGATTAACTGAATGATAATGTTGTTCAGTTGATAAATGTTACCAAAATTGAATATAATTCACTCCTGCTGAGATACTCGTGTACAATTCTGGGCACAGTTTGCAAATGCACAATTAAGTAAGACATGGTTTCAAAATACCACAAATCTCCCTAAGGAAGTCTTAATGAAGTCAACACTTCAAAATGACCTTGAGGAAAACAACTGTTTTTCTGGTTTTGTCGTGTCGATGAATTGATGTTTCAACAGTTTTACATAACTGTGATGCCAAATTGTTGGGTTTTTTTTCAGTTTGGGGTTTTTTTTGTGCATGACTTGAAACAAATGTCAACTGCATCCATGTATTAATATAACCATATTAGTTACTATCATGATTATGCCATTCAGAACTGGGAGTCCCCAGTTTCTTTTCTTGCTTGGTCAACCAGAAGTTCTAGTTTGCACTTCTGAGGATTATTTGTGTGCTGTTGGCATATGTATCAGCTTTTAAAGTTTGCCCCTCTTCCAGCCTCTGAAATGCCAGGTAACTTCTCCTGCATTTCTGCAGGTGTTTAATTTCTTATACAATCCCAAGCGAGTCTATGCTTTTCATCATCTTATATAAGCCTTTGCAAATTCAAGTTGCAGGATAGCTCTTAGCAATGTGCGCTGCCAACTGATTTAGTTGTCTTCCTCTTGGAAGTTCGGTTTATAAGTTCTTGAAGTAATTCTAAGCCGTTGGCTTTCTGTATATTAAAAGCAAGAAAAGACATGTGAAAAAGCACACCAAACTCTTATTTGAGTCACCTAGTAATTTGAGTAAGTTATACAGTAACCTTCCAAAACCTTCAAAAAGGAAGGATTTCTTCTCCATTTTTGAGATAGTTCATAGCAACCTGCAATCAACTCAACTTACAAAGTCAGGATAATAGCTGGAAGTATATTCACTCACTTAAAAAAAGTCTCCTTATATGGTTGGAATCTAGAGCTGAAAGGAGCAATTAAATACTTGCTTGATAATCCAGTGTTCCTAAAAAAGATGAAATTCATGTCTTCTGATGGTATGTCTGAATATGTCTGAAATTGGTCTCACTTACTGCCTGCATGCCCTCTGAACTCTGGAGAATAATAAATGCTTTTAAGGTGTGATTTGCCCCATTCAAAACTTGGAAAGAACTATGAACCTTCCCAAGAAAGTTCATAGAATAGAATATTCTACCAGCTAGGACTTGGGCAATGTAAACAAATAATCGTTAGACATGTGAAGTTAGGTGAGTAAATCCTGCCCTACTCTGCCAGCACCCTGAAACCTTATCTTTCCTTTCTTGCATTTCAGAAAGGTTGTCTTCAGTGCTGGCACGCTATAATTGGGAAGCAAAGAGCAGTCTGGAGGGCTCTGAATCCTTCCCTGTTACTGTAAACTATCAGCCTGAGCTTTTATTTTCTCTGCGTATGTACATCTCTTTACTGTCCTTTGCATCCTTGTACCCTAAGAGCCAAGAGGAAGAAAAATTATTTAGAAAAAGAAGCAGCTCCAAAACTGAAGAAGTAACAGTTGGGTCCTTACTTGCCCTTGCAGAAACACTGTTAATGTTGGTTTCTCTGTACTTTTTACATTAATGCAGGAAGTGGAGGCATGATGTGAATTGCACTGTGAGCACGAGGGGAAGTAATACAAGATCAGCTTGTTTAGAGATTATTCAAAGAGCCTGAAGTGATATATCAAACTTGAACAAGATTGTGCTCATCAGCACGTTTTGAGGAAAATACAATTAATTTTATTCAAGTCTGAATTTAGGCAATTACTGTATCTGTTAGTCTTGTCTTACCTTCCAGTCTGCAAAACTACAAAAATCAAGACACCAAACGGCAGCAGAATATTTTACAATATTATTAAAGGCAAAATAATCTAGGCTGATTAAACTGGAACCATCTTTGAGGAGATAAACTTCTAAAGATAAACATCATATTCTGGTGGTTGGAAAGAAGTTATGCTTGTCTACTGTTTCCTTGTCTTGGAATTGGCAGATCTCTGCAGTGTTAATGAACGTGAGGTGCTGTTAATCCAAATATTGGATCCAAAGCTAAAGTTGTAAATTAATTGCTGAAATGTCGGAAATCAGTATGTCTTGGGAAATAATTCACTTTAAAAAAGCTAGTTTCTTCTGAAAGCCAGTGTTTAGTTTGGTGGTGTGTTAGCTATCCTAAGGAAGACTAGGGTATAAGAAATGTAAGTAAAAAGAGTAGTTATTTCAATATTGAATTTGCAGAAGGGACCCTTAATTTCTATCATGTTCACATAGGTTGATCTTGAACTGAAAGAGAAAAGGGAATATGCTTAAAGATTTAGCAATCTGATCCTTGTCATTTTTGCATTATTGGATATCTTATAGGGGAAAAATTGTGACTGGGACTAGAACACTGAGTCTTCTGCTGAAATGTTCAGTGGGAACATCTTACACCCTTTTTAAAATTCTGACTCTGAATTGAAATGAAGCCTTTAAGGTGGTTTTGCAGCAGTAGTTCAGCTAGATGTTTTAAAAATATCTTAACTTACTTTCCCAGTCTTAACAAAGAGAGCTTAGCTGCTGTTAATTCTGTCAGAGGAAGAGGCAGGGGGAAGGAGGAATGGAGGATGAAGATCTGTGACTTTTATGTTTTGTATTTGAAATGGACATTCCTGTAATATTAAAAGCCAGTAAAATTGCTAGTTGGCAGAACAATGTACACAACCTGTATTCAAGTCCATAATGCCTTCTGTAAAGGAAAATGGATGAATCCTTACTCTTTTCCAGACCAAGTACATGGATATGTGTATATCTGCATTCATTGTTTTTAAAATTGTAGTTTGGTTAAAGATAATTACCAGATCTTAATGGTATTGTTTTGCTCTTTGGAAAGTTATTTGTTGAGATAGCTCTCAAATCAAGAATAAGAACATATTTTGGAATTTGGGGTTTTGTGAGACTGGATTAGTATAAAATTTCTCAGTGTATCTGTCAAAGAACTGTTAACTTATGTCATGGTTTAATGCCAGCCACAGGGAGTATGAGGAGCAGAAAAGGCCTTGACTCTGTATAAAGCCCTGCTCAGCAATAATGAACATATCTCTGCATTATTAACACTGTTTTCAGTGCAAATCCAAAACACAGCCCCTTACCAGCTACTCTGAAGAAAATGAACTCTATCCCAGACAAAACTAGCACACTTGTGGATAGTTGGAATGAATTACTGGTGAATGAATTGCAATAAATTACTGATTTGAAATAGTGTAGATGTGGACAGAGTATGAAATTGTGATGTGTGTTGGCTAGATTAGTCTTTCAATAACTTGTATTATTTCAGAAGGATCCTTCAGAACACCAGAGTTTTACCTGGTTAATTTTTTTAAAGGCTAGTTTAAATTTAACAACCAAAATAGCTGCTTTTCTTTGTAAGCTCTCCAAGTACTCAACCTTAAGGAGTAAGTTCTGTAATTTTGAAGCAATTGTATTTGAAAACAAACCAATAACAACGGGAGATGGAGGTGGAAATCCGTGCTTATAAGGGTAAAAGAGAAATCAGAAAGATCAAACTTAAACTCATCTAGTTTTGCCTTTTGTTTTTTTTATTTCCCCTAGTTATTGAGTCGGAAGGATAAAGCCACCTTTGAAAAGCTGGAGTATGTTATGAGTAAAGAAGACAATTACAAAAGGCTTAGAGACTATATCAGCAGCTTGAAGATGACTCCTTGTATTCCCTACTTAGGTAAGTTGAAGTATTTCTAGTGGGAAACTGTAATGACAAACATACTTCTCGAGTAATGGCACAAACTAAACACCAGCTTTGAAGCATTCATGAAACTATTTCAGTACTTCAGTAAAGAATCTATAACCACTGGTTGATTCTGGATATTCTCTATGTGGCAAGAAATAACTTCACTAGCTTCAGAAAGAAGATACCTATTAAACCTCACAAACACTTCAGTATTACATGCAGTATCAGTTTTTTAGGAAATTGTTTTCCCATATGTTATATAAGATACACTGATTGACTTATGGAGAAGCACTTAAAATTGTTACGCCTGTTAGCACTCTGAGCTAAATACTTCATTGTTATAGTAATGATGCCTTTTGATTTATGAGAAACTGTAAATCACCAACCTCTGAGATAAATAAATGTAAATCTTAGAGTTTGCAACATGCTAAAATCTGGAGATATTGCTGCATTTAATTATACTAAGGTGACAAGAGAAACTGGGTTGTTATGACTGACTGAGCTTTATGGAATAATTATGAGTAAATGATATTCCTGTGTATCTGAAAACTAGATAAATGTGTTTTATATGTATTGGTTTTGTTGCCAAGCTAACCTAGTGTTTTTGAATGTTTCAGTTAAGTTTGTTTAAAGTGATCAATGTGCTTTTTTTTAATGTAGCTCTTCTTTGAGATCATAAGATGTTGGTAGTGACATAAAATTAAGGAAATATTTAGTTAAATTTTTCCTTTTCCAGAAAAAAATAGTTCATATTTTTGCAGATCCAGGTTGTTCTTACACCTAAATTCAAGATGACCTCTTGTGGTCACTAAGGATTATTAAACTGTAATCTTTTTGTTCCTGAAGTTTGGTACTTCCTTTACTGAGCTAGGCTATTAACTTTTCCAAGATTAATAACTTGACAGTAGTCTTTATACTGTGATCTATGTGTCTGTCACAATATTATTTCTTTTGCTTCATAACTTGATACGAATGATAATATCATCGATGTTAGAATCTAGAATGATGCCTCTAAAAATGCATATATCCAGGTTTTGCAAAATTGGTTGCCTTTTACATGCTTTACACTTCACTAGAAAAACATACTTTGCTATGGAGAACCAATAATAATTTTTATGACAAGTAGTCCTACAGAGTTCCTCATTCTGACTTCATTTTTCACTTCCCTGTTATATCCCTCCCATAAACATTCATCAGTTCCAACATGATCTTAACAGCTGTTAATTTCCTATATTTTCAAGTATTCAGATGTTGGTAATTGTTTGTACCCAGAATGGAAGAATCAGCATGAGCGTATTTTGTCTGAAGTGCACGTGTGAAAATTGCTGGTGTGGCATACTGTCACATGCTACCCTATTTGTTGACATAGCTGTTAAAGCTAGGCCTGGATTAAAAGGGGGAAAGAAGCAGCCAAGCATAATGTAATGTGATTAAACGTCATTTTGTAGCTTTCCCATCGTGTGTACACATATAGTATATACGCACCATATATGGTTCTGAAATGTGATTTCTAGCTTTCCAGATGCTTTTTACCTGTATGCTGTGATTTTTGAAACATGTAACCAGGCTCAAATAGTTTTCTTGCTGATTATAGAAGTCTCAAGCCAACCTTCTGTCAGATTTTTCAAAATCTCATAATTCTCTGACCCTTGCCATTATGGTCTTCTGATACTTAACTGCTTTACAGATAAATCTTTATGCTTGGTGTATTTGACACTTTAAAAATACTGCCTTACTATGTGCAAGTGTCTATTAAAAAAAAAAGTTAAAATGTTGGAAAACAATGTTCTAGGTTTTGTTCAGTTGCAGTTGTCTTCCTCCATACATTAGTAGCTTTTGTCTAACTTTTGCATTAGAATGAGCTTTGGGCGTGACTTTATAGTTTGTTGAAGTGAAATGTATATTTCTTTCCTACTTAGAAAGAAAGAAATACTCTTTGTTGTGACCCGCTGTAGTTAAAGAATGTATTGTGACCTGGTTTCATATTATATCATGTCATTAGTAAGAATTGAAGAATATCCTCAAGCGTCTTTTAATTCTCTAAACAAATAGCAAATGCCCTGTGGTGCAGTCCTTCTAAAAAGAACAACATTCCCTTGAAAATACGGTTGTGATAAATCTGGATCTATCTTGAAAGACGGGCTGTTTTTCTAGTTTGATCAAACCTTTAATCTCCGGTAAGACCTGAGTAGATTTGCAGGAGTATTTGAAATTTTCCTTCCCAAGGCATTTTGACTAATGCGATAGTCATATAGAACAGAAGTAAGCTAAGTTGCTTGTTTTACTTTCTGTTTTAAGCTTGCCAGCTATAGGTTATAATTCCTGAAAGGATCTTTTTCTGCTGTTACTTCTGGTATAAAATTGTATATGGGAGTAGTGCTGCTCCTGGTTTAAAATGTGTAGAAAAGTCTACCTAGAAGTCTGCAGTTTAAAATTGTGGTCGTGGCATGTGCCGGGGAGGGGGATTAATTCTGAGGTCCGTTTCCTCGCGTGGTAAAAGAAGGGGTGGGGTGGGGCTCTCTTCACTGTTGGTGCAGAGATCCTGCTGTGCTCCCCTAAAATGCTCTTTAGGAGAGTGCAGATAATCAAGCTTGCCACACAGTTACATTTGCCATTGCAAATCCCCTCCAGACAATCAGGGGCACTGCTCGTGAAGCAAGATCATAGGGAAAGTGAGCCTATAAGGGAATCTCAGCTGCAATTTCAAGGATGAATGTTTTACCCATCAGAGGTTGCTAGGTATATCCTTATGCAACCAAATATTGAATGTGGGTGTGGAGTTTTTTTCATGACTGTCTTAGCATTATAAGATAAAGCTTAAATGCTTTTTTTGGGTGTAGTCTTTGCAATGGGAGCAGAGCCGCCGAAGTAGAGATTGTTTTCTTATTACCACAGCTCACTCGCTGTGGGCAAGATAAAGATGTCCTTCCTCATTTAACTAGGGGAGGGGGGAAATAAAAATATTTTTCAGTTGCTTGCAGCAGTAAGTATGGTGTGATTCCAGAGTTCTAGAAATGCAAGTGAGAGCAGCACATCGTCAGCGTGGACTCACTAACTTAAATGTGAGTGCTAAGAGCCATGCAACACCAATAAAAATGTTCAGCATTAGGTCCTCATTATGCTATGTGGGCTATGTCATCACTGTTGCATCACCCAGCCAACTAAAGTAACTGAAACAAATGGGAGCTGTATATGTGCTGTTATTTTTCACCTTAGAATAAAAACCCAGTTTCAAAGGGAGTCTTATCATGGAGTTCTGATTAATTTGAGATTGCACAATGAAACAATTGAGCCATATCTTGAGAAGTAAGATTTTTATTTAACTAAGCACTACTACCTTGTGAAATATTTTCTCATGGCTGTCTTTCAGGAATTATATCCAGAAACAGAAAAGCTGAAAACAGGTTATTGAAGTATTCATCTGATGATTATTCAGCTATCTCAGTGGCAATGCTTGCAATAGACTTTGGAAATATATGTGAAAACTGTGTTTCAGGTTTCATACAGGTTAAAATTTTTGAGGTCTGCTTGGTTAAACTTGGACTGATAGGGCAGGAATGGTGAAAGCTATGTCCTTCACAGACTGACTGCTTCAGAATGTCCAGCGCAATAAGCTTGAGGGATGCTACAGCCTCTTTTGAAAAACTTTTAAAAAAAGTATGAGAGAAAACATTGAACTTCTTAAGTCATTTACCACGCTTAGAAAATTCAACCCAAAAGCTAAGAACTGGTAAGAGTTGGAAGCATTTGAAAGTACAGGGTATGGACCAACCTGAAAAAAGAAATGCCATGCTTTCCCTCCTCATAATCTTTAAGTTGGATCTTGAAGTCTAAGTCTTTCCTTTCGGAGCATGGCATTTGTACAGTCTGAGCTTTCTGGGTATACTTTGTAATAATGTTTAGTTTACATCACCCTGCAGCTTTAAATTGGGGACGACTCACTTTTCAGATGTCTAACATATGAGATGTAATTTAAAGGCTGAGTGCAAGCTAATTTTACTTAGGCGTTTTTGAAAAGTACACCTTTCACTGACTGCACTGAATAAACAAACACTGGTTTTGTAGCAGGCAAGAGATTCTTGGGGTAAAATAAAATCTGTTCCAAGGAGAGGAAATCTGTTGATTGAATGAACTAAAGCTATCAGAAGTGTTCATTAAAGGAGTGTTTTGGAGGGCATTTTCAGCTTTTAAATTTACCTGAACAGCTCTTCTATCCAGCTATGATAGAAAAAAAGACTAGACTATAGATAGTCTGAATTTTAAGCGTTCGTGATTAAAAAGCATTTTACAGAACACTTGATCAGTAAGGTCTGTATGATATTTGTAACAAACAAATATTCCTTATATAAAGAACAATTTCAAAATTGTAATCTTACACATTTGTATCCATTAAAATTCTTGGAATTTGAGAATGGAATATGGTGGGAGTGCTTCCCCACCTACCCACCCGCCACTGCCAACCCCGATTAAATATTGTTGAAACTTGTCCACTTTGATCTCTGACCATTTGGCTACAACCTATGCAGCCACATATTGTCTATGAAGCTTTATCTACTCCAGAGAATGTGTTTTGAAAGCAGAATGCTATTTTCTCTCCTCTGAATGACAAGTGAGGTTTTGCATATCAATTGATATCGGCTAATTTAGCATAATAATATTAGATGATTCTTTTAGCTATTAGGGTTTCTTATATTGAATAGAGGCAAAGTTCCTTAAAATCCTGAAGGCGTATATGAGGTGCCAAACAAATTCATTGGTTACAGTTCAGAACAGTGTATCTAGTTTTTGTGTAATATCAAATTGAGTAAGCAAGCTGTGTGGCTAAGTACAATTATTAAATAATTTTATATGCTAGAAAGAAAGCTTCAGTTTTGGAGACTCTGGTACCCAAAGCAAACATTTTGTTGTTTCTGATTTTGGCAATATCTTGTTTCGATGCAGTATGTAGTATGACTTTTGTTAAAGGTTGGAAAACTATTTGCTTATTTCTCAAATTACATATTAATTCCAGTGGAAATCTGATATGTAGAAGGTAGAAAATTTAATATAGACAGTATCAATAGTTGTATACATGTCAGGGAAGGGAAAAATGTATATCATAAGAGAAGTCCATGTTTGGGGTGGCAGGGAGAATACACTCAGAGCTGTTTTCTAATCTTTATTTTACTATGTCAGCAGAAAGCTGTGTTGGAGGAAAACTTCTAATATTCAGAGACTTGGTCCTTCTCTAAATAAGTACGTGTAAGCACTTGTTCAGACCTCATCCCTCCTAACTGAAACAGGGGAGGGGTCTCCAAGTATCAAGTCATGATTTTAATATCAAGACTTTTCATTTTGCTATTTAAGTTCAAAGTATCAAGAAATATTTTTGTTTGATTAGGATATCTGAATACAGAGGTTGAAAGTAAAAGAAGTACCGAGCAATTTGGTTGTCTTCAGTTTATCAATAATTTCATGCAATTATTTTTCTTTTCTTATGTTAGTGTTTTACAGAAGGTAGGATATGCAGATCTTAAGGAATTCTCTACACCACTAAGAAATTTTATATTTTGTTTAATTCACGACTTCATTTTGAAATAATTATTTGTTGCAAAAATCTCTCTCCGCTGGCAAAGCTAGAATGTCTTCAATTTTTTGTGTAGCTTCTTGGAGTAAATCTTAAACAGTAATGTGAAGTCAGATTTTCATTGAAAGAAATACCAACGTTTTTAAATAAATTGTTAAATAACTAATCAATTTTCACATTAAAGCAAGACAATGTCATTTCACATATTTACATTTAAGAGTTGAACTAACCTGAAAAAACATAAGCTTTTTAAGTGAAAAAGCTTGCATCTTGTCATATATCTGGAATTTTTTACCAGCTTTAATGACTGTTTACATAAAGTATGTTGGACTTGAACAAAGATAAATATGCTTTGCAAGCACAAACATCTGCTTTTGTGAATGTGTGTTTAAAGAAAACACTGTCTGTCACAGTAGAAGAGGTTTCTAAAAAAAGGAGAGGGGAACACAACAGAGGGGGAAAAAAGATGGGAAAACTGTAGACCTGCTTTTTGCAGGGGCAGATTGTGCAAAATAAAGATTAAAAATTAATATTTTATTTTTCTGGAACTCGAACACTGAGAAGTTTATACGTGATCACTTGAGCACTCTGGGATTTTCCTCCTCAGTCTATAGGTCTGATCATCATTTGAACTGCTTTCAAGGAGTAGGAACCTCCCCGGTACTCAGCCCAAAATATTCCATCCTGATACTTGCTCCTGTAGTGGCCTCCTCTGTACCACACGCCGTTAAGGTTAGAGTGGGCACAGGCGTTGTACCACCAGCCGCCTTTGTGGAAATGAGCACAGTTTCCTGTGGAACAGAAAGAAATGGGTGAACTTCAACATTAAAGAGAAGAAATGGAGTTTAGCAAATGCTTTCATATTCTGGCTTATTGTTAGAGGGAACTTGAAATACTTCCTAGTCTGTTGTAGTCATATCAATGGCTGCTTGTGCCTGAATTATAAATTCCATTGTAATGGCAACCATTGCCTGGAGGGGGGGATTATGGACACGGTATTTAATGTGACAGCTGAAAACTAAGGAGATCAACTCTTCTCAGACTGCCGGCAGTGCTTGTCTGTGAGCTAACATTCAAGGAACTTGGATTATGTGCTGCTTAGAAATACTTCGGTGGAAGCAGTGTGACTTGGTACAGTCCCAGGCAGCGCACAGGACTGCAGTTCCACAAAGAGTTGCTTGTAACTTGTGTATTTGCTGTTACAGGCTTGTTTAAGAGTTTGCAAGATTTGTCCAGCTTTATGGTTACTGACAACTGAGAAAAAGCAGTTGAAGTATTACACTCCCCAACCTTTCTTTTACTACTAAGGCTTTAAGGGCAAAGCTGGAGGAAGAGTGTGGAAGTGAACAAAAGAGTGTCCTTTAAGGAGAATGACACAAAGTGATCTGCCCGTTTCTCAAGTATTGGTACCTAACTAAGCCTGTGCACAATCGCAGTTCCCTTCATGCTGTTCAGAAGCTTTAGTTCATGGAATCATAGAATGGTTTGGTTGGAAGGGACCTTAAAGACCGTCCAGTTCCAACCCCCCTGCCCTGGGCAGGGACACCTTCCACCAGACCTGAAAGCCCCATCCAACCTGGCCTTGAACACTCCCAGGGATGGAGCAGCCACAGCTGCTCTGGGCAACCTGTGCCACTGCCTCACCACCCTCACCGGGAAGAATTCTTCCTAATATCTAATCTGAATCTTCCCTCTTCCAGTTTAAAGCCATTGCCCCTTGTCCTATCAGTACAGGCCCTTGTCAAAAGTCCTTCCCCAGCTTTCTTGTAGGCCCCTTTAGGTACTGGAAGGCTGCTCTGAGGTCTCCTGAGAATCTTCTCTTCTCCAGGCTGAAGAACCCCAACTCTCTCAGGCTGTCTTCATAGGAGAGGTGCTCCAGCGCTCGGATCATCTTCGTGCCCTCCACTGGACTCGCTCCAACAGGTCCATGTCCTTCTGGTGCTGAGGACCCCAGAGCTGAAGGCAGTACTGCAGGGGGGGTCTCACCGGAGCAGAGGAGAGGGCCAGAATCCCCTCCCTCAACCTGCTGGTCGCGCTGCTTTGGATGCAGCCCAGGATACAGTTGGCTTTCTGGGCTGCCAGTGCGCATTGCTGGGTCACGTTGAGCTTTTGGTGAGAACCAGCACCTCCAAGTCATCCTCCTCAGGGCTGCTCTCAGTCCGTTGATTGAGAGCACGTAAACATGGCGATTATTGTTATGTAATTATTATATGGTGATTGTTGTTATTTGGCCACAGGAGTACTCTGAGAGATCACCTGGACAGGTGTTCTAACTGCAGAGAGTCACATGCAAATTATAAGGATGTCATTGAGGTAAATATAAAGCTTGCTCAAGTGTGCTTGCGATGGAGGTAATAGAATTTGAATTTCTGAATGGTGCCAGGGGCTTGAAGGGGGGACCTGTCAATGTGATTTTTGTCATTATTGGTTTGAAGCATCTTTCAATAGAGTTGTTTTATCAGAATTTACATGCTTTTTTGTACTGTATTCTTTTTTTAAAGGTGGTATCACTAACAGGATCTACTGTATTCACTTTTCACATGCATACTAGTTTCCTTACCTGAATACATATCTCTGTCTCTGTCCAGTGTTGTAAATTGCTTTCCATTATGCCATATCATGGAATCGCCTGCGTTTCCTTGGTATGTTCCTAAGCGTAGCCTGTAGAATTCACTTTCGGGTTCCAGGTGGAAACTGCTGTATTCTGCATAGACTTTTTTATTGCTCCAGTCCTCTAACTCAATCAATAGTCTGTAATTATCCTGACTGGTAAGCATGTAAATATTTTCTAGTCCCAGCCAGTACTCTCCATCAATATTTCCAAATCCTTTCTGTACAAAAGATCAGAAGGTGATGTTAGCTTAGTTTTTCTTATTTGTCAAAAATAGCAGGAATATTATAAACCAGTGGAACTAGGGAACTAGGGTACTGCAAGCCTTTAAGTTTCTGAATGACTGTTCAACCCATGCATTTTAAGTGCTTTATTTTGCTCCACTTGACCATTTACTTAGTTGGACTGCTAGCCACATAAGGTACTACCAGAATCGGTAAAGGTAGCAAAACTCTGTTTTCTGTGATGTTGTGGTTGTTTTTGTTTGGTTTTTTTTTTTGGTTTGGTGTTTTTGTGTGTGTTGTGTTTTTGTTTTTGTTTTGTTTTTTGGCTAAAGGAAGAGAGAATAGGGAAACAGAAATAATGTATTTCTTGACAAAGCTACGGAGATCTGTAAGAATGTATGAATAATGAAATTTAAGGGGGTATATTTGCAGATTGGAAAAGGTATTTATGGATCAACAGTCTCAGTGTTAAAGGTAAATAACTTCTTGTTGCCTTTTTAATGTAACTGGTGTTGGTTTTTACTGTAAATTTAATTGCATATTTAATCTGTGCTCTTTTATTAGAAATGAAATATAACTACGTCTTTCCTTTCGAATCACAGACTAGCAGTACGGTAGCTATAAAGTGATATTTCATATCTGCCATCTCCTATCCCTGAATAAATCAGTGGTGTTAATGTTTGGTGTTGCAGCTAAGGTAGGTACATCACCCACCGTAGCTATCTGTTATGCTTCCTAGTTTCTGAGGTCTCCCTACCCTCCTCCTCAGGCTGTTGATTATGTAGGACCTACAGTTGATTTCCTGCTTTGAATCACTTTCTGGGAAGGTCTCTCTCCGGGAGATAAACAGTCTAGGCTCCTAACTCAAGCTGCAGTTTCACAAGTGGCTTAAGTTGATCAAGCATCGTGCTGCTGCCAAAAATGGTAGCGGTGCTTTTCTCCTGGCTCATGGCCACATTTGCAATACTTCTCTTGCGTCAACATTGTAGCTATGCAGCCACATAGAGATTGGGGAAGAAGCAGAACTGTGGGCCTGGGAGACATCTCTGTTGTCAGTGGCGCAGGCTTTAGTTTAAAGCCAGTCACGGAAGTGCACCTTCAAGTACTTGAAGTTAAGTAATAGGAATACCATCTTCAGCCATGGTTTAATGCAATTTAATGAGAAATGTCTTGGGCGCAAATTTGCAGAAACTCGAGCCATTATTAGACACCAGTTACACACTCTTCTGCATTTTCTCTGCATTATGTTAGAAATGTTTATGGTTACTTTATAAGGCGCTCTGTAACTGCCTTACAACATTTTAAAAAACCAAACAAAACCCAAAAAACAACACACCACAAAAACAAACAAAAACCAACCACCTACTTTTCTGAGAAGTAAAGGCTTTGAATAACTGCTACTAAGGAACAATTAACATTTGAATCATTAAATTCCAAGAATACAAAACCTGAAAATCCTCGTAGTAATTTTTCGTCTTTTCCTTCGTATATACGACATTATCTTTAGATTACTGATTGCATTAAATGTGGCTCAGTTCTTTCTTCAGCCACAATGCATGTGGCAATTGTAGATCCATATAAAGTGAGCACAGGATCATAGGGAAAAAACCTGCGTCCTGTATGTATGAAGTCAGCCCATTGTTATTGTTTAAAAAACACAACCAAAAGGATTTTCAAATTTCCTGTCTAGCATGTAATTACTCCAAAGCAGCATGCACTGCTTGTCCCAGGCATTATGCCTGCTAGTGCCTAATGTCACAGTAACACACAAGAATGTGTTTCCCTTCACCAGCCCTACATCTTCATCTTGCCATCTTCAGATTTCTAACCTAATTTTAAAGGTAGAAATTATTTCCTTTTAATTAATTATTAGGAATGCTTTTAAGTTGAGGCCCTGATCCTGCAAATCTATTAATGTGCTTAAATTAATAATTCCACTGGCTGAGATTGCTTATTCCTAAGGCATACAATTAAGCTTTTCAAGCACTTACTGTAGTTCTCAGTCATGTATTTAGTTAGGTCTTTGTCATAAATAACTTCCCAGTCACTGTCTAGAGTAACATGTGTCTCCCCCATTGTTGTGTTGTGCATCACAAATGCAGGCTATTTCAGACCATAAGTTAGTTTATACAAAGTTAAGTGATGCACTGAAATATGACATTCCCACTGAAATATGTTTGCCTCTAAGGGATGACCACTCTTTTCAATTATCTTTGTAAAATTAATTTCCCTAACTTAAGCAGCTATTTATTTCCACATCTTCTGTGTTTATCATTTAGTACAACCGTTTGCAATGAAGAATTGCACTGGAAATGTTCACACCATCTTGATTGCAATAGATAATGTCACTGCCGCGCTGAAATGAAGCAGCTGATTTTCTGCATTCCAGAATTTACCTTGTAACTGTCCCAGTTCCTGAAAAAGTTGACAGATCCATCTGTCCTCTTCTGAATAACTGCCCATCCTCCAGGGTCCAGGCTGTTCTCACACCACAGTTGCATTGGCTCGTTACTGTTTTCAGGTTTGATCATGTAAATCCCACTGTTGGAATGCCCAGCTTCCTTGGCTTGTTGGCAGTCTTTGAATGGACCTTTTTGGAAAGAAATACTGTAAGCATTCAGGCTTGGCTATGCAGTGCACATTGTTCAAGAATATTTTGTAATGGTAATGGAAAGTCAGTAATTCAAATAAGGTAAAACTAACATGGAACCAGTGTGAAAAGTTAATGGCTTAGATTAATTGTGTATATATAAATAAACGTGTCAGTATCCTCTCTCTATATATATTTAAACAAAACCTTCTTTTTGCTAAATAGGTAATAGACTTCGGTTACCAATAACCAATTTTTAACTTTGTCTCCTGTGTCAAAGATTTATACTCTGACTCTTGATATTCAACAAGTGCATTATGATTTTCATTAACCGTTTTCTCCTGTACTGTTTTTACAGAAGGGAGACATCCATTTAGTTCATTATCCTAGTGCACCCATTTGAAACTGGTGGAAGTTCAAAACAAAACAAACCTGACACCTGAACAACCCCACACATACACCTGGATACATAAATAGTTTGAGAGCTGCTATAGGAAATATTTACTGCCAAAGTCTACAGACAGGGAATTTAGTGAAAGAGTATTCTCATGCTGTGTAACTTTTTTGCCTTTATGTACTTACCCAGTTCTAGGATCAGCCTGTTAACTGTGGATAGGAATCTTTTTTAAGTTTCCTGTGTCATCCTGGTGCGATACATGTAGATGGATACTGATGAAGAAAATATCCAAGCAATGGAGAAAGACGTTTGAGCAGCTAAAAGGGCTCACATACTTGTTTTCACAACTGTGATTCTACAAAAATGCTGTTGCTGTTGACAGTGCTGCTTGGAAGCTCTGGTTTAGACCATGTGAATAGTGGTTTTACAAATACTACTTACAGAACAGCATCTGGTTGTTCTGTAAGAAGCATAAAGCTTACATATCTCTGAAAACTTAGCGTAGTTTGCCTTTCAATTTTTGGTAATATTTTTATTTTCTATTTTTAGAAAAGGATTTATGTTCATGTAGCATTAATTCAGTTGATTTAGAGAGACTAGTTATTTACTAATGAAAAGCAGGATATGTTCTGATGGCTAGTTAGTGGTGGATGCCCTAAATGTATCTGAAAACTCATACTCAGTAAATCTGAAATTAAATTACCTGCAGCTTTCCCCTCATTTTAGAAGGCTCATTTTCTCAAATCTACTTGGAAGTTCAGAGAAAACTAATCAGTCAGAGAAGAAGCTAATGTGCAGAGAAGCATAGAAGACAGTTGTTGAGGTTATTCTTTAATCAAAAGTAGAGGTCGAGAGAAAATGACCTTTCTTGCAGATTGAGGTTGCGCAACAAAAGCAAATTGAAAGTCGTGCTTTTTTTTAGAATTTAAAGTAGTAGTTGCCAATTGGGTAAGTGTGTAATTAGCAAAAAATCCATTAAGCATCTCATATTAATCAGAGCGCAAAAAACTTGTGTATTTGACAAAGGTGACTACGTGGAGCTTCTGGCTGTGACAGTGCTACCAAGAATGCTGCAGACATTGAGCCATCGTTGTCCATACTGCTGCATACAGCACTGTCAGGATTTGAGGATGTTTTTGTCATTCTTGCAGTGCATGCAGTAGTAGCTTAGGAAAGAAATATTGTAGCTTTGGTATATGAGTCTTTTTTTCTCTTGTTCACAATTAAAATTTCCATGTAGATTGTGCACATTGCAATGTTTGTCCAGTGGATAGATAATGTCCTGGGCTAAGCTGGGTCTCATTCCCTTTTCTTGAGCCATCTAAAGTAAATTTGGATGTTGTATAACTGAACAGAGAGGTTGTTCTAGAAGTATTATTGTATTGCATTAGAAAAAGTGTAAAAAGACAAGTAGTAGTTTTTGTAATGTTAGTCGAATATTAAGAATAGCTCCATTAAATCTGCTGTGTATCATTTCACGTGATTTCTACTGGAGGAGGAACTGAGGACGCATTTTTCCATGAGACACCCAAGCAGATGTTTGGAGTGATTTTAAGTAGCTTTTAAGGCAGACAGAATTGTACTGGTCTGTTAATGTAATACACTTTGATTACTGCTGAAATTCAGCTGGCATTAAGGTCACAGGATGCAACTTGTCTGCTTTTTGATGTTCAGATTTGTCTATGTGCTTGTCATAAGCTAATGTTGTAGTAGAGGTAACAGACTTCTGCGCTTAGTGTAAGGAAATCCAACAAATCCACTAACTTTTGGTGTATAGCCTTCAATCTTTTTTGAGAAGTAAATTCTTCATTATGTGTAATTATTTTAAGTTCACGGTATAGTAACTCATCCGTTTCTTGTTCAGTGGAAATGCTGAGATTTGTGAAACAGTGTAAGATTCTCCACAGTGCTGGTGCGAGGCGAGGCTTTGGCTAATGGAAAAGCAAAATTATTCTGTTTTAAATCTTGTTATATATGTAGGAAATAACTTTCTCATGCCTATCTAGTCATTTTAACAGTCTGTGTACACTAAGTTGCTAAGCCAATTAGTTGTAATTTGGAAATACTCTGAGAAGATAATCTGTTAAATATTTCACTTCTAAAATTGTTTTAGATGTAAGATTTAGTACAAATCATGTTCTATTGTAAATTAGATGTAATAGAGAAGGAAATTGATGAAATATTTTAAGTTGGAAGCTTAATAAAATGATGGCTGAATCCTATTTTAAGATCCCAGATGTTATCTTGAGCAGACAATGTAGAAGCTGCGCTTGTGGAAGCTTTATATAGAAGATTTTTGGGGCAATAGTAGAGGAGAATGCCCAAATAAAATTGGGCTTATATTAAAACAAAACAAAAAAGTTACATTGTTAACTGAGAGGTATTAGCAGCAGTGTGAAATGAGTGTGTAATTTTCAGGTACTCTGTCTACTTGAAGCTACTTTTTGCAACATAATGGCAGTAAAATATGGAGACACTGGTTATTATTCCAAGGATTAAGATAATTGTGAAAACTATAATTCATGGGAACTTTATTCTTCCTCAATTTTCAGAGCCATTTTAATGCAAATTACCTAAAATACTCTTCAGAAAATACAGTCTTATCCTTCTTTGCCTCATATTTTGCATTTTGCTCTCCACCCACAATATTAAGATGCACATTGACCCTTCTGTAAACTTCTGTGTGCAAGTATTTGTGAGGTACAACTTCATCAGATACAGTGGGAGAAAGCCCCTACTTGTTTGTCCTGTTGTTTATTCTGTCATAACCAAGTCTTTGACAGGCCTGTTTCTAAATGAGACTGGTTTTCATTGGTCTTTTTTGACATCTTTGTATTATAAATAGTCATCATCTTTTTAACTGGAAAGTTCATTTTTCTGTGACATAGACAATTTTGGTTCTTTGCACGATTAAATGTGCTTATCTTAATTTAAAAAGAATTGGAGATAACTGGGCATTGTGTTGCAATTTAGAAGTTTTGGTTTTGATGGTTGATGCTTTACCAGCTGTAGCAATTCTCAACCCTCATTTTCCCAAGATACTTCAAGAAACACTTAAACTTCAAACTCAAGAATCTAGTATTAAGGGAAGTTGAATAATGTTAAAATAAATTTCCTAAGATTTCTTTGTGTTCCGTTGCAAAAATGGATTCAAACTCTGAACTTTTAGAGGTCAAGGGATTAGTGGAAACCATGGTAGATAATTTAGAAGAGAATATTTAGTGTTACTGCTTCATTTTGTATGAGCAGCAGGAGTATCTTGAGAGAGAAAAAGATACGTTTATAACAAAACCTTGAAGCATGAGTTTTCTGCGAAACAGGAAGTTGCTGGTTTTTAGTATTCTACTTTTGCTCTCTGACCAGACGTTAATGTAATGCTTTTACATTAGCTGTTCCCTTTGTGTCATGATGTGCAATTTAAATTCTCACGACATCTGGCGTTTTACTTGGGCTTGTGCCTAAATTTTCTGCAGACCCTGAATAAAAACAGTTGTTCCTTACATCAGCAGCTAGTTGTTTGTGATGCTGTAGAACAGTCAGAAATAAATATTTGTCTTCATCTTAGGAACCGAGTTGAACTTCCAACTGTAACTAAAGGCAATTTGAAAGCAAAAAAGCCCCAAGAACCCAAGCACAAAACCCCCAACCGATGCCTTTTACTGTACAAGCTAACGGAAGCCAAGAGCAAGTGCTTGATTGAACATCTGAGGAAAAACTTGTTTTTCTGAATCCTTAATTTTTTTAAAATCACAATTCTGTCAAAATTTTAATAAAGCAAGAATCATGATAGAATTCAGGGCAGCTCAAAGGTAGTTAATTTTCTTTTCACTAGTTTTGTTTCTGGTGATAGATGAAATTATGTAGTGACCCGAAGAATGCAACACATGAAGATGTGATACAGTCTCCTGAATGTATTTTCATAATATTTATTGTATTAGTTTAACTTGCCATCCCCTACTGACATCAAATTACTGGGAATGTAGTTACTCATTTTAAATTTTCAAAGCTGAGTGCATCTAATTGGATCCAGCCTTGATTCAATTATCCTTTCAAACTTACCTTAAATCTCTTGAATATTTCAACCAAACACTTGGAGACTTATTGCATGACTGTGTTCATTTTAAAGCAGCTCAGATTAGAAGGAGTAAAATTCTGCTAGCAGGATTAACTTCTGGGAAATGTGTGTAAGTATAAAAGACAACTACTTAGAATTACTTCATTTATTTAAGATTAATTAGTTTTTATTATTACTGCCAGTTACTGTAACTTGTAGCTAGTAGGCATCTTCAAAGAAACAGTGCTAAATACTAGAACATTGAATTTTCAGTCATATAATTCAAACCCAGCTGGAGTCAGAAACCTGAGTACTTTGTGACTCAAAGATGTAAATTCTTCAGATTGAATTTCTGAGTATCAATTATTTCAGCAAATTCATCTTACGCAACTATAACTTAAGACTTGAACAAATTGGCAAACTAAAGTTTTCCTTGGTGGGGGAGTGGAGAAAATCAGAATCAGGAGCAAGGGCTAGCTGTACCAGATACATTAAATTCTTCGTTCTATTTCTATAACCAGGACAGTTTCCCTCTGAAATAGAGAAATCTCAGGTTAGATAGATACTGATAGGTAACTCACCCTCATTAATTAAAGCCAGTGGCGGTACTCTGAAAGGACTCTTTGTAGGAGAAGTCGCTGGATCAGGTGGTGGCCTTACATCTCTGTCTCTAGGGTAACCCGGGTCTCGCTGGATCTCGTTACCTCCCAGAAGAATGGGAGTGTACGGCTGGCTGTTAGGAATGTGCTGTGGCACCGCTTGAACAAGAGGTGGAGACCCGTGGGTGTCCTGTCGCGAGAAGATTCTCAAGCACTGCTCTTCTAGCAGCGAGATAGTGACAGACTGATTATTTACAAGATCAGTTAGTGCTGCGTATTTTACTTCAAGCTCCTTGTATTTTGTTGCCATCTTCAACATTTCTGTTGTAACATTAAGGACTTTGTTTTCCAGTTGGGAAAGCTCAAGTGAGTTATCACGCTTTCTAATTATCTCGTGCAAGAGTTGCATATAGAGTTGGGTGACCCGAGAGTTCATGTTGCGACTTTCTTTCCTCAGTAATTTTACTTCATTCACAATGTTTCCATCCACATCCACTACCAATTGCAAAATGTCAATCTCCCGCTTTTGCTTGGACAGCACATCCTTCAAGTTCTCTATGTCCATCCTTGTGACTTCATCTTTTCTGTTACCAGTGGCTGGTCCATTAGTATTCACGCAAATTGGCCCTGTGATTTTTTGTTCTGGGACCAAGAACGTGTAACCACATTTCTTCCCTTCCTCTCCACCATCGGCTGAACGAGGATGCCTCCGTTGGGATGTTTTATTAGGCGTAGATTGTTCTGTACAGCGCCCGATGGACAACAGTAGGAACAATAGTACACCCAAAGTCCATTTAAATATCTTCATTTTAAAGCAAGTACGATGACTGTCAGAAGACACTATTGAACAGATAAAACATAAAATCATTATATTGGAGCCATAACTAAAGCTCCTGTACTGCTTAAACTGCCTAAACGGATGGGTTTGCCACGTTTAACCTGTATGTAGACAAGTCTTTGGAATCTCTTACTTGGAGTTAGATTCCAGTAGATTAGTTTCAAAGAATAGTTTTGTATTTTGAGCAGCAAGCCCTAAAATTTAGGTACTGGATTTAGTAGAGAAGTTCTTGCAATGGATAAATTTTCAGAAACAATGTTCTGCTTAAAATTATGTGTTATGCTTTCATTATAAATTTGACTGCTTAAATATGTACTCACTTCAGTTAAATGCACAGGGTTATAGAACATACAGAGTGCTTGCAGAATATCTTCATGGAAGGGAAGTAGGGAGACAGAGTGATAGTATGTTCAAAAATATTTATATGAATTTTGGAATTTGGATTATATATATTTCTGGTCCTCTTTTAGCTTTATATGGGTGTATATAGATGTATAATTCGTTAAATACTACATACATACCTCTTCATATGTACACACTTTTTTCAAATTTATATATACACAGATACAGTAGAATTGAAAAATATACACATATCTAACACTGTTTTTGGACATTAGTGTTAGGCAGGAGATTAGTGTAAGATCGTTGTCTTGAATATGTAATTTTCAAGATTTAAGTAACTTTAAATTTGTAAGGAAAGCCTATAACGCTGTTTGCTCTCCATGTGTGTTCCTCCGTAGTTGCCTTTTGAGATAACATTTAAAATCGTTGTCACGCTATTTTTGTACCTTTGAGCACATTTTTATCCAAATAACACTGAAGTATCAGGTGTATTATCACTGTAAATACCATGCTGAAGTGTTTCATTCACCTTTTAAAGAAAATAGTGTATTTCTTTTAACTCTGTGTAAAGAATTAAAATGCAATGATAAAGAACCATGAATGTTTTTAGAGACCTGTTTTTTATTTTTTTTTAAATATTTGAAATTATAAACAAAGGTAGCACTTAGTGAGGTTTTTTTTTTCCTGATTTTCATGTTTTATTTGCTTTGTCAAGCAGATCACTCTTCTTATCTCAGCTGTTGATCTGCCTTTCCTTTCCAGACTACTATTAGCAGTTGTACAAGGCCTTGTACAGTGACCTTTGTGAAGTTACAAAGAGAAATAAAGTGAAACCAGAGAAAGTTAATTTTCATGCTGTTCCTGCCAAGTTCAAATTTAAGTGCGTTTGGCAATCCCAAAACAGTCACCCTGAAGGAGAAGCAGACCTGTGCTACTTCCTTTACATTCCCATTTACAAATGATAAGGTGACTTTTGTGTCAGGTCACTTCTCCCTGTTCTGTTACTGGCTTTAATATTATTGCTACAAATGATGTCAACCTCAGAGTGAACGTATCAAGTCTTTATTTTTTGGCTTCACTAAAAGCAGTGGTTACAAACTTCAAACCATGCTGTACGTGCAGTCAGGAATTGTATCTAGGAATCTTAGATAAAATGTTCCACTGTTACCTAAAAAATAACTTTTTATTTGGCTGACAGTTGTATTGCCAGCCCTGCTTCTGGGAGGGGAGGAAAACAGTTGCTTTTAACACATACTGTAAGTCATTTCTTACCGTACATGAATGGAGGGAATAGACAAAAGTTTGAGAAAGTTTATATTTAAAAACTTATTTCTGTGTATTTTACTGTTAGTAGGTAGCAATAAGTATTTTGGTGTCTACTAGTAAATATTTCTTTTGAAAACAGAACTTGCTTAAAAGTTAATATTTCTCTGCTGAGGAAAAAAAAAAATAGGAAAAAGTATTACTTTTCTCCAGAGCAGATTGTGTATTTTTCTTTTGTAATTTCAGATGTTTAAAATACTAATCACTTGAACAGGGCTCAGAGCTTGAAGTTCATTAGGTTAAATTTTGACATGAATCATAGTAAATACATGGGAAACGGGTCTGTGTGTGGCTTCTAACTTGACAAGGGTGAGCTGAACTAATTGAAGTTTGAACCTTCTTCCCATCTAAATTATTTTTCAATACTTTTATGTTCAGTGTTTGCAGATGCACGGAAAGTGACTTCATGGCATATGGGTAAGGATGAAGCCGTAGTACAAGTCCAGTATTTTACTGTTTTCACAGTATATAATAGCTACTTCATAGTCCAAAAAGGTGAATAACGCTTTAGTTCTAGGTAGTTTTTAAAGACGATATACAGTTACTTAAATAATAAATGACTGGGGGTTTCCCCCACAGCAGCACATTTTTCCCCTGAAATGCTTTAAAACTTAAATGAATCTTTCAAAACCAAACATTTTGCGATGCAGCCCACTTTCTGACCATGTATTCTATCAGACTATAAAAATGAATTAAATTAAATGGTGTAATGTAGCATGACCAAATGTAACAGCTGCATAAGATTATGCCCTAGAACTTTGAAATCATTCAAATGTCTTGTATTAAAGCGATATGTTCAGATATGCAGGGATGAGTTCATTCTGAGAATCTACCTGGTAGGGAACATACACACTTCCATGGGAATGTTGATGGTAAAAAATTAAACATCTTATGATGTTGCTTGGCATGTTTGAGCAGCTTAATACCCAGCTGTATTAATTAATTAATACAAGAGTAGGTTCCGAGTAAGATATTTACCTGGAGTTTTAATCAGCTTAGAAGGAAATGAAAATACTGTTTCAGAAATTTCCTGATGTTCTGGGCAAGCAGCTTAAAAAAATATACACTGTTTATCCAAAATATCACAGAATGATAGCCTAATATGTAAGACCTAAAAATGACAAATATTAGAGTTGGGAAGTAGTTTTAGGGTTTTTTAATCAGACACATTATGTTACAGGTTCCCAGTTTTAGATGTTTACGTAGTGTCATAACTGTTCTGAGATAAAGCGGTTGAGGCTCAGGGATCAGTTTAGACAGAGTCACAGTCTCAAACCCCTCCTGCAAGTCTAGAGTTGCTTGTAGAGAGTGGGGCTGCTGAAATACCTGAATGCAAACCTTGGAAAATAAGCGGGAGAGATGGTGATTACAGATACTATTGCTTTAAAATACATTGTTTAAGTCTTCATGAACTGTCTTGTTTTTTAAATTAGAATGGACTGTCACTTTACTTTGGTTCTGTCGTGTTTCGGTGTCACCCAGTTTTGGGTCTCGGACTTCTGTAGAAGTTGCATTATGTATGTTCTGGCATGCTGATGTTTTATTGCTTTTGCAGGAGAAAATGTACAACTATTCATAGCAACACAAACTTCGTCATCATCTTGTCAGTAATACTCAGGGCTGTGGATAGGGCCTCACTAGCATTTTACATGTAATGCCATTCCTTTTCTTCTGATTTCTTTTTCTGGACTGATCCCCATGCCAAAAAAACAAAAAAAACCCAACCAAACAAAAAAAAAAAACCAAAAAAACAACACACCAATAAAACCTTGTTTCTAAAATGAGTCTTTGACATTTTCACTTTTAAAAGTGTTTAAAGGAACAAAATTCCAATTTAAAAGAGCAAAATAAGCCAGTAACTGTTGTTATTAACTTTCACTGAGAAACTACTATAACAGGGGCTGTGTTGCCCCCAAAAATATTGTATCACTTACAAATATTAGAGTTCCCGGGATGAGGAAGTGTGGAAGCTAGTATATATTTGGCATTTTTTAACTTTCTACACAGCAAACTGTTTGTTCTTTGTTGTACTGCTGTGACTCTCACGTTTTCAGGATGTAGAATCTGGAGACCCACAACACAAATTAGAACCTGTTCTTTTGGAGCTGACAGAGACTGCTTCTCCCTGGGCCGTGTAGGTGGTTACGACTGAGTGTAACGGAAGTGTTGCAGGTAAATGTGAATATAGGATTCCCTTTGTATGGAAAGCGCAGTATCAGCACATACCTTTATTCAGAATATTTATTAAAAGAATATGGTCAAGTGATGCATACCAATGGTGCCCTCTCTTATAAATCTCCATTTATAAACATGTGAAACAGGAAGAGAAAGAGACAGGGGTTTTTGAGAAAGTAAATGATAATGCTGAGAATAAAGATCCTCTGAACACGATACCAGTTAATCTGAAAGCTCTGTTACTGATGTTACGCATATTTTGTTTTCTCTTAAGCTTTGTCTAAGCAGCTAAAATCAATAAATCCATCTATGTTCCCCTGTCTTTACACAGAATAAGTGGAGATCTTTGTGGATTTTTTAGCTTAAAACTGGGTCCATTACATTAGAAGTAACACTAATGTGGGAAGAACACTCTTATTATAGGAGAAATGTTCACATGGATTTTTGATGTATCTGTGTACTTCAGTAAGTTACTTTCCCCTCTGTATAAACAAGTGCTTTTCTGGCAAGTCACTCTACCTCTGCTGACATAACAGGATTACTTTCAATTGTATTGACTGGGATCCAGGAATAATACGTTCTTGGTTTTTGTTAGTCAGATACATGATGTATTGAGTCACAGAATTCTGCTTCTCTGAGATTAATGGAAATCTGGTTCCTTTTACGAAAGGCAATCGAAAAATCTTCAGGGGTTTTCGAAGTAGTCATTGAAAATGTGTCACTTCAAAAATGATAGATTCTTAGAAATTCTCTGCAGAAGGGAATTGTAAATCTTCTCATACTAGATATTCTGAAAACAGCAAAATATCATAACATTTCCAGATTTTTTTGGTGGGTTTTTTTGTGAGGGTTCCTTTATGTTTGTTTGCAGCCATTGTGTGTGTTTGCCCCATTTTAACAGGCCGGTACAATGGAGTGCTGCATTTTGCATTTGGAAATGTGTTTAGGGGCTCCAGAATTCTCTGTAAAGTAGACAGTGAAGACATTAAGCATCTAGTGATGTTTGCTAAAGGAAATTTTGCTTCATTCATTGATGTATAAATTTTAAGGACCAGACTGACAGGGCACGTTACAAAAAACAAACTAAGCCCAGTAAAACAGTAATTAAGACTTGATAAAGCCATGTAGTTACTGGCAAAAGTTTAAAGGTTCAGAAATTCCATTCTTTGAAGTAAATTCCTGTAAAACTTTAAATGGCATATTTTCCATCATACTTCAGATCATTCTTGTGGCAGCAGCATAATATTAGTATTCCATTATTTGTTTTAAAATAAGCATTTCAAAATTTGAACTCTGAAGTTGGAAGACAGCAAAGGAGAGAGTTAAAACCTTGCGCACAGCCAGTTTATTGCTTTAAAATTATTGACTCAGCTGTTTTCATTTGTGAAAGATTTAGGAATTGTTCTAAGCAGCGTACATCAAAACCTTGGCTAATCATGAATGAATGGAGACTGGTGTCCAAAGCACACAATGTAGGCTTCAAATGTTTTTGTTGTTGTTTAGATTGTTCTCTTTAATACGTAAAGAAGCACGAAAGGATAGTGAGAAAAAGGGCTCAAGAACTTGGAAAGGATCCATCTTTCTTGTTAGTCAAGACTGCTTCAGACTTTTTTTTCCCTCCCGTAACTACTAAATCTTAATTCTGCTTTCTGTAACATTTTGTCTATTCTTTTAGCATCATCCCCTTCATTCTGTTTTAACATGTCAGGCATTTCTGAGAGTTTGTTAATAAAAATACGTAACTTAAATTCTCTTCTATTGTTCTGGATTATTTACCGTATTAATTTCCAGTCAGCATGAAGAAAGGCAAATAGTAGAAAATTATGTATCAGCAACTGTTTTGTGGTTTTTATCTGTACTTTTGTCTTCTGTTTGTAAACAACTTTGTTTTAATTGTTGGCTTGCAACTGCATCCTCCCCCCCTCCCCCTTCCCAAAGAAGAACCGTAACAAACCCCTCTATTTTCCACTTAATATAGGATTGCCTTGTATGCTGCATTTCATGTTTATGAAATGAATCTTTATTTAGAAACTACTGTTTAATTAAGGTACAATTAACTTCCCCGTCATTCCACAGATTGTTAAAGGAAGGGATTAGTGCCAGTTAATGCAATATCTTTGGATTTTCAGTTGCACAATTGTTTGTGCTACAAACTCAATTGTATTCTGAGTCAGTGTATGACTTTGGTTTCTTGGTTGATTGTACAACTTGGACTACTTCTACTGCTCAGAAGTCCCATAAATAAAAATTTAGTTGAAATGATATACAATAATTGCTACTTACAGATGTGCATTGATTTACTTGGGACTTTTTACAGTGGTTTTATTGAGGTATCCATTTTCTAGTTCTAGTAATGCTAGGTCTATGCTCTGGTGTTGGGTGAAATCCAGCTTCCCTGAAATCAATAGGTTTTTTGGCTTTTGCTTTCTGGTAGGATCAGAATTGCACATTAATACATTCACAATACCCAAATTATATGCTTAGCAAATACTCTGGTAGTGCTAATTTTCTGTAACTGCAGATAACAAAATCTACAGAAGATTTACAGCTAAACAACTGAAAATTGTTCATTCTTACAACTGGAATGAGTTAGTCTCTGCTTTTTAATGCAGAGTCCTTTTTAATTCTTTCCAAGTTTCCAAAGCCTAGCAAATGCCATAAAAGTGAGTTTTATATTTTAGTTGTCAAACTTTTCTCAGGCTGAGAGAGATTTGTTTCTGCTCCATTGTATGTTGAGGGACATGTATGTAGAATTCACAAATAGCTCAAAATTAAACTTGTAAGTAAGAATAACTTTAAAACTTACCAAGAAAAAAAATCTTCCAGCTGTTTTGCTTCTGTGGTAGATGGAAAATCCAGAGGCCAAGTTGCTTTTTCTTCCTATGTTACCCGATGCTGTGGATTGTTAATCTGCAGTTGAAGTTGAAAACTGCTTTTGTCTTTCTCTGTTAGCTCCAAGCTGTGTTGAGGAATTGGGTTTCTCCATACGATAAGCAAGCTAACTAATCATTAAAAAAAAAAAAGGCAAAAAGTAATGTTCCAGTATGTGTTATTCCAGAAGAGAGAAATAAATGGGTTTTGAAACTGCAGTGTTTTACCCTCACGTGCAGAAGTGCACTAACCAGCTACAGCTGACCCAGATTCCATATACATCACTTTTGAACAGTTTTTTTTAAACAAACGCACACTCGACTTAGACGTTCGGCCCACCTATGATGTCACCACGAACACACTGAGAGCAGAAGAAAGCTCCTCCTTCGGATTTCCTATCCATACCCTCCAGAAAAGGCGGGGGTAGGGAGGCTGAGAAGTTAGGAACAAGGAAAGATTGTTTGCCAGTAGAAGGGAGGGTACCATATGGCAACAGACTGTGCAAAAGTTCGGCAGGCAATTACAAATCAAACATTTTTACTACGCTGCCTAAAGATGCCTTTCAAGTTATTACAGTACTAGGCTTCATTTAGAAGAAAGATTCTTTCAGGCTGATAAAACTCGATTTGTGTTGCTGGGAATAAAAGGGGCAGCCTGGCTGGATGCAACAGGAAAAATGAACCATTTATAGTCTAGAAGAATGTTCGACAGAATGTCACATTCAATTCTTGACACTCGCTTAATAAGAAACAGTTCCAGTTGTTAAACGCATGAAGTCTCTGATACATGTGGAAAATGTTAAAACTGTGTGTGTGATGGTTTTGAGTAGGTATCGGAATATTTGATAACATCTGGCTGGTGCTAGAAGTAGCAAAAGCCACAGAGATTCTGCACTGTGAGGAATGCAGAATACTGTTTTTTAGTTCTGTCAGTAGTCAGCCAGCACTTAGGTGCATTCAGTTTGCTTTCATTGATCTTTTTGGTTTCTTCACAAAGGATGTGCCAATTACATTTGAAAGAGAATTACCATAGTATGCTTTCAAAATTATTGTAGGCTTCATAGAAATGCATCAAATAAGTTCAGAGAACAGCTCTCTAGAAAAGAGTTCTTGATGTAGCTAAAAGAAAAAAAAATCAGTGCTTAATTGAGCAAGCCATTCAGAAAGATAATCCTACAAGTACATTGGTTTATAAAATCCTGCATAATATTGCAGGTGCCTGTTCAGAGTGAATTTCCTCAATTATAATTAGTAGGCATGATTTACTTTTTTCTGTCGAAGACTGAGGAGGTTTGGGATTTTTAAACCCGTTTGGACGTTGCTTAGCAAAGTTAGGTTTGGGACAGCTTATACAGTCTAGATAGCATAGCAATTAAATGTGACTATCTGGTGTTTCTGATTGTCCTTTCTGGGTTTTTTAATAAACTGATTCTAGCAGAAGAGAAAATTGAGAAATTTAGTAGTATATCAGGTCATGTGTAATACCTTTTTATTCACTTTTTTATGTGTCACCTTTCAACCACAAGTATTTTAATTTGTTTCTGTGTGTGTGCACGCACACGTGTGTATGTGTTGATTTTGGAGAAGTGCCCAGAGTTTCCCAACTCACATTTGAGGACTCTACAGGTTAGGTGCTATACAAACACCACTGCTGTTCTTGAGAGGTTGTATTAATAGTCTTCCACCTGTAAAGCCAAACTTCTTGTTATGATTTTGGTTATACAAGGCTGAGAAGTGAAGCAAAACATCATTTTAGAAATTCCCTGTTACTGAAATAAGTTTTGTAAAAATACTATTTAAGTTTGTATAGTTTTTTATTTGGATATCTTGTGGAAGATGCAGGGGATGAAGAGCGATTCCTTTTATAGTAGAGTTGGTCAGGATATGTTTCATTTAGTTGAGACAAAAATGGTTAGTCTTTGAGTGAAGCTCAAGAAATGGAGCTTCATTTAGAATTAAAATAAGCAGTTTGTCTACAGCATTAGTATGTAAGGAGGAGGATTTTCTCTGTGTGATCGAGGGATTGAAAGAGTAATGAGGTTACAATGATGATGGGGAAGAAAGCAGGTAGAAGACTTTGAAGAGACTTTTTTATAAGGCTGTTGGATCTTTGGAGTTGTGATTAATATGAACTGGAGGATTCATACCACATTTCAATCTGAGAGCACTTTTTGCCTAGTTAACTTTTCCCATGTTGCTGCAAGTTGACTTTGAGTTTCTATTCAGCTTGAAGAGTTGTTATATGATTTTTCCTTCTGTTATTTTTTTGATTGCTGAATTGGAGGAATGAAGTAGTCGACTTCCCAAAATCGTTAGTAATTTTGATTATGTATTTTAGCATTGTGTATTTAGTACGCTTCGTATTTGTCAAGGGAATAATTGATTGGTGATATGGAGGAAGATTAAGTTCATGAGTAGTTGTGCATGTCCTTGTAATTACTTTTAGATTTAGGAATAATGACACAAAGTCAGATAGTACGTGCCTGGTGTGATGCAGGACAAAAGGATCCTCCTGCTGTGATTTGTCATGCAGAGAATGAAAGCTTGCACACAAAAACCTAGCTGTACTCGTATCCTCAGCATCTGCAAGTACAGCTGAGAAGGTTGACAAAACTTAATCCTTAAGTGATTGAGAAGAGTGCAAATTCAATCCCAGACGAGGGTGGCATGGTGATGTACTTTCCCGTAAGTCCAAATGTTATTACTGTCTTACTCTGAGGCCTGAAGGTTCTCAGAGATGTTGTTGAAAAGATCCAAAATACTGTTCTGGGGCAATACTGTTGTCAATTTGCATGCACGTTAGTCAATGAAAGCAAAAATTCTTCCAGATATTGTTTGTGAGGTTTTTTCTGCTAAATATGAGACACTAAATAAAGAAACTTTTTATTTTAATCTTATTCAGGTATTTATCTGTCAGATTTGACATATATTGACTCTGCCTACCCGTCAACAGGGAGCATTCTGGAAAGCGAGCAAAGAACAAATTTAATGAACAACATTCTTCGAATTATCTCAGATTTACAGCAGTCATGCGAATATGGTAAGCTACTTTGTAAACACTGCGATATTAAAGAGAGCAACTTTAAAAGCTTTAATATTTGTCTTCTGTAATGTAGTGTACATAAGACCCAACCTATTTGAACGCCACTAACGCTCTCCCTCACTCTCTCAGCCCAAAAGCCTAAGTTTATTCTGGTATTGTTGACTGTGACAGCATCGTCTTACATCACACACATTTTTGTAGTACATATTTTCCGATGAAAAATGTGGAATACATTGTACTTAAATGTAGTTTTACTAGTATGTTATAGACTTGTATCCCTGAGTTTCATAATTTTATGACTATAAATTCTAAAAATAGTAGGATTGCTTTTGGAGTAGTACTTTTACTGGAGATAATAAAATACATTCAGCTTATCTTTTGGACATTTATAGTTCTGTTCATAGATCGGGTAATGTATTTTTTCTTGAAAGGTGCTCTCCCTCACAATCCGCTTCAATTTCTAGTAAAGTCATAAGACTGCATTTGCGATGGTGGAATGTGAATTAGCACAGGATTACGGCTTCACTGAAAGCTCAATATAATGAGAATGTGGGCTGTGAAGGAATCCTCAGATACAACTCTCCAGGTCTGGACCTTCAGTTTGGCCAGGGGTGCGCTCTCACTTTTCCCTTACATGTGGATAAGTGGAGCAGCTTGAGGGGGATACATACCTGGCTTTATGGCTGTGGGGAATATCAGCTCAACACATGACAATTACTACGAAGGACAAACATTTCAACATCAGTAGGGACTGTAGTTTGTACCTCCATCTCACATAAAAAGGCAAGAGATCTGATTCCATTTAAATAGTTTCTGGAAAATAACTTTGCTTACCAATGAATGGTATGGTGATAATGAATGTCATCTGTTCTTCAGATATTCCTTTGTTGCCTCATGTCCAAAAATATCTAAACTCAGTTCAGTACATAGAAGAACTACAAAAGTTTGTAGAAGATGACAATTACAAGTAAGTATGAAATGCTATAACTGACTGTAACTCATTACAAAATAACTTTTATAATGCAAAGCCTGTCACTTTTAAGATTGCAAGTAGTGAGGTTACAGCAGGGTCCTGTGCTCAAGACAATTTTCAGCATGCTGGATGGCATATCTCCTTCCTTTTCTGTGCCTGACTGCGTCAAGACCTGGCTTTTAGGTCTGTTTGGTCTGTTGATTCGATCTGCAGACCTCTTTGAGTGTTTGCTAATAAAGACTCCATACTTCTGGCTCACATGTGACACTGTTCAGTCAGTAAGATGGATCCCACGACTGGAGATAGCTTATGTCATTTTTCATCAGAACAAAGTCATCTGTGTGTCCAGTCCCAAATTCTTGCTGAGCGAGACTTAAGGCTTTCATTTTCATATATATTTTACTTGTGTTTTGTATTTTTCTCTTTGATTAGGTTATACAGTATGAGTAAAACGTAAGCACTTGATTTCTGACAGGCAAGTTATAGTCCATCTCTGTCCCTGCCCATTGCTCCCAGCATACAGCCCAAAACAGAGGTTTCTACTTCCTTAATTAAAAGATTATTTCCTTATTAAGTGATTTGGCATCCAGCAAAACTTGGGGGATGGAAATCTCTGGCAGGAGACAGGAACAAGCCCTGAGGATAGGAAAAAACCTAAAGCAAATGTGTTGCATATGAAGAAAGCTTTTGTTCATTGGCTGATCTGCTTAAGGAGGTTCCCCACCCGTTCCCATCCTGGCTACCCGGGAGGTTTGTGACATCCGTTGTGTTGAATTGGTTGCTTGTGTAGCTACATTTGAACGGTGGGAGGGGTACACACACTAGAGGAACAGATACACTTTACCATTTGATAGCCCTAACTTGGATTTACCAAAAGGCAGCAATCGGGGACCCCTCAGTTTATGTCAAAGAACAGTTAACGAGGGCTCAGACCCTTGGCTTCCCTTCTGAGACTTGTTAGTTATTCTCTGCGTGTTCGTATGCAAGCATCTGGCTTTACCTTTTTGCTGAAATGTTCTATAGCCTGATTTGGAAAGTATTGCTTGCTTATCACTGAGAGTAAAGCTCTGTGGTCAAACATTTGAAGGAAAAAGCAAACAAACAACAAAACCCACAAACTCAAGTTCCTTAACTGCAATGGCTGCTTCTTAGTGGCGTATTGTTTCCATGAATTCCACATTTCACCATCCTCAGCCTTCATTAGGTAGGGCTCACTACTAGTGGGAATTTTATTGTACAACCCATGTTTTGAAGGCAGGGAAATGAATGGAGGCAATTGCACATGATGCAGAAACATGGCTGCTGTTCAGAAAGTCTGTTTTTACACCTATGGATTTTGTACATCTCCAAACTGAATTTTTTTACGAAGGAGGAGTGTATATTGAAGAACTATTCTTACTCTAAGTGACTATTTTACGTTTTATCCCTTAAGGTATCTGCAAAAAGGCTGAAGTTAGAGAACAGCCATTGTGAGTGGAATATGTGGTTTTTTCTTACTAAAGGATTTTATTTTATTTTAAAAAATTAAATTTTAAAATGGTAATAAATCATTGTGAAACTTTCTGGGATTGGGAGGGAGAGGAGCTGTCAAACTTCAAACTTTTTCTCCCCAAAATTAAGTAGATGCATTTCCAACCCTGCTAATTTCAAAGATTCTCATTCTGCAAGCTCTGCGGACAAGATATGCTCAGTCTTCCTGGAATTCTCTGCTCCTGGAGTCTGCCCTCTTTCTGGTACTGTTGGAAATGGCATTAGAAAGTGCCTGTTATAGAGGAAGCTTGAATTATGGATATAGTCAAGTTGATAATGTATTTTCCAAAACGCAAAAGGAGGATTTTTGGCTTTTAGACTAGTAAGGACAAAAGGCTTGGCCTGGCACACTACTGTACTTCATAGAAAAAATTAAAATCTGAAGTATAGTAAGTACAAGTATTTTAGTCAAGGTGGGAGGAGCAGTTGTATACTTTTTATTCTTCCCAGTGTTTATGCTAGAGTAGTGGTATCATCACTGAGTTTCATGGATCTGCCAGCAGTCTCAGGGCTGCGTAGGTCCTGACTTACGTGTGGCTATGTTTTCTCCAGAGGGTATTACCAACATGGAGCAATGGCCTCTTCCCCTGCTCCTTCCACAGCATGACTTCACCACACCTTGTTAACCAGCTCACCTGGCCGTGCCAGCTGCCTCAGGCTCCCTGGTACAGAAGAGGCTGCAGGGTTGTGCTGTAGCCAAGGTTTTCCTGTTGAGTCTGGTTCTCCTTTCAACATGGTATTGCAAACCTGACCTGGTCTGTGTGTACCAAAGCAATAGACTGGTTTACTACATTATGCCCTAGCACGTCATTGTTTTGAATATTGGACCCTGTTGCAGTAGTACAGTTTTTTCCACTCAAAAAAAAAATAAAAATTTGGAAATAGTATGTGCTAAAGATAACTATGCAGAGTTTTAACAGTATTAACTTTATAGTGTTTCTTGCAATTATAGAACCAGACAGCTTTCAATTGTAAATTTAAAAAAATAATTTTTCAAAAACTTACTTTTATGTGCTTCTGTTTTCCTGATAAAGTAATTTTTAATGCTTCTTTAATGCAGACTTTCATTAAAGATAGAACCAGGGACCAGCACCCCCCACTCTGCTGCTTCCAGAGAAGATTTAGTAGGTAAATGCTTAATAAATGTGAGAAGACTCAATGTGGTCAAATGCATTATTTTTGAGTTGCGAATGTGGAAAATATTTGCCTGAGGCTAATAAAGAAGTGTGAAGTATGAACACTGTGTATTTGTAATAAAAAGTCTAAAGGTGATCTGTAAAGAAATTCTTTCAAGGAATTGAGTCAGTTTTTTAGCTTATGTGTATTGTGGCATTAACTTGTTAGTGTCATTTGGGGTGAAGAGCTATTATTCATTATTTGTTGCATCTAGACAGAAGGGCCTTCGTCTAAACTTTTCATGGTATAATATGCTTCCAAAAATGTACGTTATTTTTGATCAATGCCAAAAGTGGTTAAAGGTAGGAGTTTCAAAACAGAATCAGTGGGACCTGTTAAATGCCTATGTAGCTATTGCAGCAACCTTTAGGACTTCAAAATACTTGTAACTGGATGGTCTATGTGAAGTAAGCATGTTTATTTTTAATCTGGTGGAAAAAAACCGAAGTACAGGGTTTTAAATTATCAATATGGGTATATCAATGAGTTTTATTACAGGCTATCTCTTACCAATTGAGTTTAGGAAGTTTTGTGCAACTGTTCCACAATTTTCTTAGAAGTAATTGCACAGTTTCAGTAATTGTAAAGTTAGTTGGGAGTACTGTCTTTTTTTGTGCCCAGGCTCGGAAGTCGGAGCATCTCCACAAAGTGGACGGAAAAATGTTGCAGTTGAAGGAGCCTTGCTACCACCAACACCCCCTTCGCCTAGGAACCTGATACCGCATGGACATAGGAAATGTCACAGTCTGGGATACAAGTCAGCATCTATTTAACCTGAAAATCCTAAGCTTTGTGATTTACCGTCTTTCAATACAAAAGCTTTGCTTTTTAAAAGTAGCATGATTTGTATGATACTTCACTTAAGAGATTGATTTGTAGCAAGAGGGCAAGCTCAGAACTATAATGGTAATATCCCAACCAAAGGAGAATTAATCAAAATAGGAGGACTGTGTGACTGTTATGATGATAAGAATAGCCAAAATAGGCTCTTTCTGAATGACAAAACTATCACTTATAGCAACTCAATGCCAGTGTAATTCTTTCAAATTCAAACTGAAATAATTGCTTTATTGGTATTTTTATAGTGAGACCTCCTTTGTAGACTTTTATATAACTTTAGTATAGTAACAGCTTCAGGGGGTTTTTTTATATAGGTGTACTTAATTAATACCTTGATTGTTATATCATCAATTCCCTTGTCATCTTTTCAAAATGCAAGACTGTAGCTATTCAGTGATTCATCTTTTGACTTACATTGTGTAAGTTTATCTTTAATGAGCTAGAATGCAATTCTAAAGTTCAGTTATGTGTTACAGTAAGACAAAAATACCTTAGGATATTGAAGTAATTTTTAAAGTACTCTTCGACTTTCTCTTTGCTCCAAGAGTGCTGTGCAGTTTTAAGACTAGCAATTCCTATAGATAATACAGTTTGTACACAATTGCTTATAACTTGAACTGTGATTTAGTTTGGTAATTGGAACACACTGCATGCAGTCCTTCAGGATGTGTTAAAACAACAAATTTTGAAATGTATTAAAGATAATGTTGTAACAATTTTATCCTTGTTTATTTCTAGTTTCATACACAAAATGAATACGGCTGAATTTAAAAGTGCGACGTTCCCCAATGCAGGACCGAGGCACCTACTGGATGACAGCGTCATGGAACCTCATGTCCCATCTCGAGGGCAGGCAGAAAGCTCCACCCTTTCTAGTGGAATTTCAATAGGTAGAAACTGTAAACGTACCTATACAGTTGCATGGTCCTTTAATAAAGTTTTTAGCACGATTAGTTGGCGATTGTACAAACAGTGTTACTATTCTGAAATACCAAGTCTATTTTAGAACAAATTTGAGAGATGTAGGTGAAGAGCAGCATAATTCATATAGCATGAACTGACAAATTTTAAAAAGCAGATTTTTTTTTTTTATCCCCAGTAACGATACAACCTTTGATACTCCTTCTCTTCCTTGACGGGGGTGGAGGGAAGTGCAGGGCACCATTTCCTATCCCCTCCTGTCCCCCATCAATCCAAACTAAAAATGTCTTGTGGTAGGATTTCAATTTAAAATGCCGTATCAAATTGGCAGTGAGAACTGTAAATTGCTGACAGTCTTTAAGAGCATAATTTCTAAATACTCCTGACTTTTGTCAGGAGTAGATAGCAATTTAACTTTTGTATACTTCAAAATGTCAGAATCTACTTTATTTTGGTTAACTTATTTGTCTTCAAATATTTAGAGTGTTGTTCTTTTGAGAACTTCTGCTTCCTGAGTTTCTTATGTGATGGCCGTTGCTCTTTTTTCCTGTTACACAGAGATCCTTAAAGTGGAGGGAAGGCAGGGCTAGCACCTCTCAGATCCACCTAACTGCAGCCAGGGTTGAGAAATGGAACCTCTAGCACAGTCCTTTTTCTCAGAATTGTTAGCTTGATAGAATTCAACAATGTTCAGTTTTTATGCATTTATGGTAATAAAATATTTTTGTAGTGTTACACATTTCTTTCAATAACTTAATTTTAAAAAACAGGTTTGCTTTTTAGCCTTCATGGAGAGAAACAAGGTCACATAGTTCCAAATTGTGCTGTTTTCTGGAGCTATTCATGTATTTTCTTGAGGAGGAGGCCATATTCTGAACAAACATTAAATATATTTTTCATGTAGAAAAAGTAAAATATCTAAGAGGCAATAATTTAAAAAAAGCTACGTTAATAAGTAAATCTTGGAGCTACCTTAGACCAAAGTAATTTGAACCTTTTCACATCAGATGGCTTCCACTATTAAATGTGCATTGCCTGTCTCTGTTTTCTAGAGGTTCTCTGCTGTGGCAAAGTTTGCCATTCCAAAATCATCCAGCA